AATCGATAAATAAACTAAGTAGTAAAATTAGATATTAAAATACTTTTTATATATATTCGTTAATAATAAATAAAATATTTAAGCGAAATAACTATTAATAATAGAGTTCGCTTATATAAATAGTTAATATTCCTTTATTAAAACGATATTATTCTTTCTAATATATAAATATTATTCTAAAATTCGTTAAAAGATTAAGAATAATTTTATTAAGAAGAAGATATTCGCTATAAATAATAAGATAAAGAAGTTATAAGTATTAAGAAATAAGATAATAAAGTATCTTTATAGCGCGATTATAACTTAGTTTAAATATTATAATAAAATATATTAACTTTAAAGTTATAAGATAAATAATTTAATAATATTAGCGATTAAGAATTTAAAGTAGAAATATCTAAATAAGAAGTTATCTTATAAATTTATAAGATTATTTTAAATTATAGATAAGATAGAGATATAAATATATTATCTACTTCTATTCTTAATATATAAAATTTATAATATCTTTTATATATTATTATTTAAATTTTATTATCTTCGCGATTATAATAATATAATAAAAATCTTTATATAAATCTTCGATTTTATTAATAATAATAAATTTTAAAAGATTAAAGAAATTATTAATAAGATTAAATATAAGAAAGATATTTAATATAAAGTTAAATAGACTAATTAAAGCGAAGAGTATAATTAATAATTATTAGATAATAAACTTATTAATATTAATAAGCTAATTTAAATTTATAAATAAGCGAATAATAAGCGAAAGTATTAAGTAATAAATAATAAGTTTTTTATTATTAAAGAGCTTAATTAATTATATAAATTAATAATAAATAAGTAAAGATAATAAAATAAGATATAATTATTAATTAGATTAGATATATTTCTAGATAATACTTATACTATACGCGTACTTCTCTATATTTACTATTATTAAAATATAAATTAATAAAATAATTATATTATTTAACTATCTACTAAACTCTACTATAAAGAAAATTTATTATATTAAGATATATACTATTAATATAAGCGTATTTTTATCTAAAGTAGTTATTAAAGAATTATCTAGAAATTCTACGCTAGCGCTACTATTAAAAAAAGATTATTATTTAAATATTCTTTATTATCTTAATATTAAATCTTAAATCGAGTTTATTAACTTAGTTCTTTAATAAGAAGATAGTTAAAGTATAGTCTTCGAGTTAATATTTATTAATATTCGCTATATACTAATAAAGACTCTCGAGCTTCTTCTTTAATAACTCGTTTATTTTCTTTAATTTCTCTATACGCTTATATATCGTTATAAGTTGATTTTAAAGATTTATAATTATAATAGAGACGATCGAAGTTATCGCTATCGTATATCTCTATAATTTATATTATTAAGTAATCTTCTTATTAAGCTTAACTCGTTAATAAGATAGCTTTTAAAATTATCTAGCGCGGCGATAGCGCTATATTAATTTTCTTATTTACGCTTAAAGATATAAAGAAATTTTAATATAGCGATTAATATCGCGCTTTTCGATCTTATAATTATTATAAAGAGAAGACTTATCTTAAATATATAAATTATTATCTCGATAAAAGTAAGTTCTATATAATAAATTAGATATTAGAACTTATTAATAGTTATATATATAAAGCGATAATAATAAGAATAGTTAAGAGTTAGTAGTCGCGCCTATAAAGCGACTATATACTTACTATTAAAGTTATTATTATTATTAAAAAAGAATATTATAAAATTATTAATTTACGTATCGACGTAATTAATAATAATAAGATACTTATAATAAAGAGAAGTAGACTATTAATATAATAAGATATATTATACTTATATTAATATTAATATTAATATTATAATATTAGAGTAAATACTTATAAGAGAGATATTAGGAGTTATAAAGAATAAAAATAAATAATTTAACATCTATAAATCTGAAAAGTTTCTATAAAATTTAAAATTATTAATCGCGCGTATATTACGAAAATTATAAAATTCGTCGAATTAGTAAATCTAATTAGAATTCGTCTAAATTTCGTCGAATTAGTAAATCTAATTAGAATTCGTTTAAATTCCGCCGATTTAATAACTATTCTAATCTTTTTTATTAGTTCTATTAGTTTAATAATAATATATATAAAAAAAGAAAAGTTCTAATAATTAACGTTATAATAATAAGATTCTACGATAACGAGTATTAACGTTAACTTAAATTTAACTATAAAATTAAATAATTTAATAAAATTAGTCGCGTAGATAATACTTTAATATAGCGTATAATAATATATATATTAATAATAATATATATTAATATCATATATATATAGAATAGTACTTAGAGTATATTAGAGTATATTACGTAAAATTTTTAAAGTTATTAAAAATTTTTAAAGTTACTAAACTAATAGAACTGGCGAAAAGAGTTAGAATAGTTACTAAATTGGCGGAAAGAGTTAAATATAAATAAAGTCTGCTAAATAGACTAAATCGTACTTATAATACGAACCCGGACGGAAATCGTGCGAAAAGAAACTTTTCAGATTTGCAGATGAAAAGAGATTTTTATATTCTTTATTATAGCGTTATTACTAGTAAGTAGTACTTAGTAATATAAATAATAGCGACGCGATAATATTTTATTACTATTTATAAAACCGCGTCGTCTAGCTATTATTATTATTTCTACTATTATTAATTAATAATCGAAGATATTATCGCGAATATATCGCTCTATTAATTACTTTCTTCGAATTTCTATAATAAAGGTTATTACTACGTCGCTTCGCTATAAATATAATACGCTATAGAAACGACGTTATCTATAAAGAAACTCTTCTCTCTTCTATTATCTATTAGACTTTCGAGATTATAAGTTCTTAAATCTAATATTATTCGCTATAGAGATTATTAACTAGCGCTATAGAAATATTAATATTAAGCGTATCGACTTATTATAGATTACTATTAATTAATATTATAAATATAATATTATTCTCGAAGATAGTATTAATATTATTATATAATATATTAATAATACGCCTACGGCGCGTAATAGTTAATTCTATCGCGTTATCGAAACGATATTATAACTTTAATAGATTAACTCTTTTTTCTTATTTCTCTATTAGAGTTTAAAGGTTTTTTAATAAATATTCTATTTTTACTTAGGCGTCTAGAAATTAGAGTCTAAAAGAGAAGATAATTATTAAATTTAATACGTTATAAATCTTAGCGCTACTTATATTAAAGCGCCGATATTATATATACTATATTAGAATTTCTTTTAGAATTTAATTTTAATAATATATCTCGTATATCTAGAGGCTTAGCGAATATAGATTTACTTTATATATCTCGAAGTTTTAATATTTCTTAGAGATTAATTCTACTATTAAATATACTATTAAACTCTATAACGATACTATATCTTTTATAGTTTATACCCGCTAGCTAACTATTAGTAAACTACGTTCTTATACTTAAATAATTCTTTAATAGCTATCTTAAATAAAAATACGTCTATATTAATAATATATATTCTAATATAATAAATCTTCTTTATAGTAGAGCTTAATAGATAATTAAATAATATAATTATTTTATTAATTTATATTTTAATAGTAGTAAATATAGAGGAGTACGCGCGTAGTATAAGTATTATCTAGAAATATATCTAATCTAATTAATAGTTATATCTTATTTTATCGCCTTTACTTACTCGTTATTAATTTATATAATTAATTAAGCTCTTTAATAATAAGAGATTTATCGTTTATTATTTAATACTTTCGCTTATTACTCGCTTATTTATAGACTTAAATTAATTTATTAATATTAATAAATTTATTATCTAATAGTTATTAATTATACTCTTTATCTTAATTAGTTTATTTAACTTTATATTAAATATCTTTCTTATACTTAATCTTATTAATAATTTCTTTAATCTCTTAAAGTTTATTATTATTAATAAGATTAAAAGTTTATATAAAGACTTTCGCTATATTATTATAATCGTAAAGATAATAAAACTTAAATAATAATATATAAAAGATATTATAAATTTTATATATTAGGAGTAGAAGTAGATAATATATCTATATCTCTATCTTATTTATAATTTAAAATAATTTTATAAATTTATAAAATAACTTCTTACTTAGACGTTTCTACTTTAGATTCTTAATCGCTAATATTATTAAATTATCTATCTTATAGCTTTAAGATTAATATATTTTATTATAATATTTAAACTAAGCTATAATCGCGTTATAAAAATACTCTACTATCTTATTTCTTAATATTTATAACTTCTTTATTCTATTATTTATAGCGAATATCCCCCCCTCGATAAAGTTATTCTTAATCTCTTAATAAATTTTAAAATAATATTTATATATTAAAAAGAACGATATCGTTTTAATAGAGGAATATTAACTATTTATATAAGCGAACTCTATTATTAATAATTATTTTATCTAAATATTTTACTTATTATTAATAAATATATATAAGAAATATTTTAATATCTAATTTTATTACTTAATTTATTTATTAATTTATAAGTAAAAGACGATATTTAGATATCGCTTAATTTTAAAATAAAAGTAAATAGCGAATTAGAAGCTATTAATAAATATAAAGCCTTTATTATTAATAATATTATTTAATATTAGTATATATAAAAGAATAAGGTAGGGCTGAACTAGAAAACCTTGAATTTGTATGTGCAGCCAATCATAAATTCGTCAGGTCTACGCTTTTTGGTTAGACACCGCGGGTAAATAAATTAGCGTCCGCAACCATCAAAAATCTACAAAAATCTATATGCAGAAGTCTTATCCTCTGAAATAACCAGCTCCCTACGGATACTATTTCTTCATAATTTGATAAACTATAGAGCTCAGTATGCGCTTTCTAACGCTGTAAAAATAATGAAGTTTAGCCTACTATTGGTGGATTAAATGGACATTCAAATATGGTAGTCATGGTAGTCACACCAGACGCGTCCGGGATCGGATAATAATCCTTCCACCTGTTTGTGTAACCATTATTCTTCCACCATTCTATCAATTCTACCAATTCCACCAAACGCGTTAGAAGGCCCTCAAAAAGAGCCCGAACGGATACGTCCTCCCCTACATACTCCTCCCAAGCCAGCGGTAGGTGGGTTAAACTGACATTCAAATATTGTAGTCACACCAAACGCGTCCGGGATCGGATAATAATCCTTCCACCTATTTGTGTAACCATTCTTCTTCCACTATTCTACCAATTCTACCAATTCCACCAATATGAACACATTTACCCTCGGTACCCTCGCACTCAGTTAAACAAGAGGAGGATCTACAACAGGCGAATGCGGAGAACACTGCGGAGAACATTGCGGAGACAGTCATCAGCAGCAGTGACACAACAGGCCTACTCTCCACGGTCTCACACCAATCCACTCAGCCAGTACAAGAGAAGTCAATACAGCAGGCGAATGCGGAGAACACTGCGGAGAACATTGCGGAGACAGTCATCAGCAGCAGTGACACAACAGGCCTACTCTCCACGGTCTCACACCAATCCACTCAGCCAGTGCAAGAGAAGTCAATACAGCAGGCGAATGCGGAGAACACTGCGGAGAAACCAAGCGGCAACAAGGCCCCCAGCACCAAGAACACGGCTCAGCTCTCCAAGATCCCACGTCATATGCTCTCCACGGTTCCACATCAAATCATCACTCAGCAAGCGGAGAACACCACTACAACTTAGCCTATCATCCCCACTACATTAAGGAGTAAGAGGAGGAACTACAACAGGCAAATGCGGAGAACACTGCGGAGAACACTGCGGAGAACACTATGGAGAATACTGCGGAGAAACCAAGCGACAACAAGGCCACCATCGTCAAGAACACGGCTCAGCTCTCCAAGATCCCACGTCATATCAGTTATCCACTCAGTCAGCCACTCAGCTAGCCACTCAGTCTGATACTCTACAAGAGAAGGAGCAAGAGGAGGAACTACAACAGGCAAATGCGGAGAACACTGCGGAGAAATCAAGCGGCAACAAGGCCACCATCGTCAAGAACACGGCTCAGCTCTCCAAGATCCCACGTCATATCAGTCATCCACTCAGTCAGCCACTCAGCTAGCCACTCAGTCTGATACTCTATAAGAGGAGGAGCAAGAGGAGGAACTACAACAGGCAAATGCGGAGAACACTGCGGAGAAACCAAGCGGTAACAAGGCCACCATCGTCAAGAACACGGCTCAGCTCTCCAAGATCCCACGTTATATCAGTCATCCACTCAGTCAGCCACTCAGCTAGCCACTCAGTCTGATACTCTATAAGAGGAGGAGCAAGAGGAGGAACTACAACAGGCAAATGCGGAGAACACTGCGGAGAAACCAAGCGGCAACAAGGCCACCATCGTCAAGAACACGGCTCAGCTCTCCAAGATCCCACGTCATATGCTCTCCACGGTTCCACATCAAATCATCACTCAGCAAGCGGAGAACACCACTGCAATTCCCCACTGCATTGATATAGTACATCACTGCGGCCTCTACAGGAGGAACATCGAACGATGCATATTTGGACGAATTGAAACCGTCCGATGTCTACAGCTATTTCATTATTCGAAAGATTTCACTGCGGCAGGAGATATTGTGGGATTCACACCACTAACTGGCACGTTATCTCCATTTCTTTCCGGTATTTCGATACTTCTTACCATAAGGACATGACCTTTCTCTGTTTTTTGTGGGCCATTATTACGGATTAATCCTCCACACTTAATATACCTTCCTAATTAGGCCTTAGCGCACCTCTCTCCGCACATATGTGCCTGTATACCACATAGATTAAATCAATTTTGTAGTGGTGGAAGTAGGTCAAAAACGCACAGCAAGCGATCAGAGTTCGATTTGACTTAGGGCTAGGGCTAAAATTCGATTTGACTTAGAAAAATCCAACTTCATGAATTTAATTCATGGGCCTTTACTTGTATTATAATAATATATTATTTTAAAATAAAATATTTTTATTAGCTAAGCGATATCGATTATAATAAATATAAAAATATATCTTATTATTTTTATAAATTAATTTATTATAACTAGAATAATATTATAAATAATATCTTTATATTTATTTATTAATAAATCGATAATAAAGTTTATAGAAATTTTCTTTTATAACTTAATAACGATAAAAAGCGAGCTTATTTCGCTATATAGACGATATCGCGAAGCTTTAATTTATTAATAAATATTATATATCTTAATATAATCGATAACTTACTTTAGACTTTTATTTTAATAATATTTATAAATAAATAGTTTATATATCTTTATAGCGCTAAAGTATTCTAATAATAAATTATTATAATATTTATTAATAAGCTCTTTTTTTAAGACTTTATCTTTAAAAATATAAAGATAATTATTATATCTTAATAATCTTTTAAAGTCTAAGATTTATATTTAATTATATATATAACGCTTAATTATTAATTTATTAATATTAATTTAAAAAGAGTTTACTTAATTATTATAGACTTATAAATCTCGAATTAATATTTTTATTAATCTTTAAAATATATTATAAGTAATCTCTTATACGATCTTAGATTTTCTTTTAAAAATAATTATCTAAATATCGATAATATGAAATATAAACGCTATAATTATTATAAGCTTCTTATTTCTTTATAACTATTTATCGCTAATTTAAAATATAAGCTTATTTTATAGTATCGATAGTAGTTTAATATTTAATAATGAAGTTTTCTCGTAGTTAAGGCGTTATAATAACGAGTTAATAGAGTTTAATTTATCTATTTAATAAAAAATCTTAAAGTTATAAATAGCTAACTTTAGCGTTTAATAAATTTATCTAAAATTTAATTTCTTCTACTTTATAAAGTCTTTAAAATTATTATAATTTATTAAAATTTTAATATAAAATATACTATCTTTTAAGTAATAACGCTATTATTTTATAAACGCTATAATAGCGAATAACTCTTAATTATAAATCTTATAGTTTTACTTTATAAAAATTATTTTTCTAAATTAGAATATTACTAGTTATTAATAATTATTTTTATTTAATTATAAAAGTATAATTTTTATATCGAAGTTAAAAGCGTTAATTTTAAGATATAGCTTTAAATTTAAATCGTAATAATATAGAAATAGCGCGGTTATAAAAGTGTTTTAAAGCTATTAAAACGCTAACTCCGCGTTATCTATTTATTCTAACGATCTAGATTTCTTATTATTCTTATTTTCTTTAAGTAAGTTAATAAATAACGCTATTATATTAAAATAGTTATAAATAAATTATTAATAGAAATTAATAAAGTTTAAAAAGACTTATATATTTTAATAATTTTTTAATTTTAGCTACTTCTTAATAATAGCGATATATTTTTAATTTATCGTAATATCTTTAATAAATATAATAAATTCTAGAAACTTAATTCGCTTAATATAGAATTAATACTTTTTTAGATTAGCGTATAATTAGAACTAGCGTAAACGCTTAAGTACTTATTTAATATATCGTTAATACTCCGCTAAATTAGTACTATAAATTAAAATATTATTTAAATATATTATATATATTATATTTATTAAATTTATAAAAACTCTATTAATATATATTTAAAAAGTTATTAATATATTAGCGAGCTTAAAAGATATAATTAAATATTCGAAATAGTTGTAACGACTATAAAACGCTATTTTTCACTTATCGCCTTCTTTAATTTAAATTTAATAATAGATATTCTTAAGATCTAGCTTTATAAAGACTTTAGATCTATATAAGCGATCTAGAGTCTCAATAATTAAAGATAATAAATATCGATTTTTAATAATTATCGCGTTTAGACTTCGATAATCAACGTAAAAATAAAGTCTCTTATTCTTTTTAGAAATGAAAAGAATTAATATTTTAACTAAGAAAGTTAAATAATAGATTTAATTTTTCTAAAGAGAATTCTTTAAATAGTATTATGATTTCGTTAATTTTATTTAAGATAAATTATATAAAGAGCTATATAGTAGCTTTTTATCGCTCTTAATCTTAATAATATAATTTCTTTACTTAAGTATAAATAAGATTTCTATTTTTTTATTAGAAAAAATATTATTAAACTTTAATAACTTCTAAGAAAGCTCTAGATTACGCTTATTTTTTAATTCGCTTTACGCTATTATAATATATATAATTATAAATATATTTAACTTCTATTTAATAATTCGAGTAAATTTAATCGATTTTTTAATCTATAATTTATTAGCGTTAATTTTAAATCGCTATTACTTTATCGCTAAATTTAATAATATTTATAATTAATTTAATTTAAGTATATCTAATATAATATTAAAATCTTTTTAATTAATAATATAGAAGAGTATATTATACTTTTTACTTTAATTTTAATTATTTACTAACTAGTAATTTAGCTAATACGCGCTATAATAATATATATTTTAATCGCTTAACGCTTTCGATTATAATAAGATAGCGTTATAAGATTTTAAATTCTATTAAATTATAAATTTTTATAAAATTAAATTAATATACGCTCTAGTATTAAGTAAAGTAACGAGTTACCTCTATTTACTTTAAAGCTTTATTTATCTCTTTATAAAAATAAAAGAAATTATCTCTATTAATTATTATTTTTATCTTACTTCTAAGATAATTATAAGATTAAATCTTTTTTTATTAATACTACGTCGATATAGATTATAAATAATTTATCGAGATTTAAATACTTAGATATTTAATAATTCTATTTATTATAATAAAAATAACTATTCTTTTTATAATTAGAGTTAAAGAATTCGACTTTATACTTTACGCTATTATCTTAAATACGCGCTATATAAATATCGTCGTTTAAAGCTAATTTAGACTTCGAAATTCGATTCTTTAAAGATTTATTCTTAGCGAATCCTTTTAAAGACTTTAAATAAAAATTATTATTAAAGCGTATATATTCTAAAATCTTTTTCTATATAATAGTCTAAATAAGAATTTTTTTTTATTATTTCGATATACTATTAGTATTTAAAATCTTATTCTTAAACTCTAATCTAAGCTTAATTAAAAAGAAATTAATTTAATATTTCTTAAAAAATAGAATTATATAGACCTTTAGCTTCTTTAAATAAATTTTAAAAATAAATATCTTCTAATTAAAGCGTTATTTAATCTTCTTTTACTTTTTATAAGCGAGAAAATAATAATTTATTAAATCCGCTATTAAATTAAATAGAAACTACTTAAAGAATTTAAAAGTTATATTCTTTAAATTATAGATTTAATAGTATTTATATTATTAAGTATTAAGATCGCTTTTTAAGAATTATATATAATAAATAATTCTTAATTAATTAATAGTAAAATATTTAGAACTTATAAGAAACTTAATTTCGATTTCGCGAAATTAACGTAGATACTTTCTCTTATTAATACTCTTATAAAGATATATTCTTTTAAAGCGAAGTATTTTTACTTTAATTAATATATTTACTAAAGATATAATAATAATTAATATAAATAATTTTTCGCTAGTTATAGATAATAAGCTAGCGTTATAAAGTTTATAATTATAGATCTTTAATATAATTAATTCTTATTTTTATTTTAGATAATAATTTTTAACTCTAGCGATTATAAGACGTTATTTTATAATAAGATCTTTTATTAATAAGAAATTCTCGAACTTATTATCGACGCTATAGTAACTTTCGATATTATCTTTATTTTTTATTATATAATTTAGAGATAAATTTAATATCGTAATAATAATAAGCCTTCTTTTTAAAAAGATAGAGAGATTAGAATTATAAAAGCGTAGTTTATTAGCGATTAGCTAGTAGATATAGATTATAAAAGATATAATATTATTATAGAATTTAATAATATATTTAATAGTAGAATTAATCTCTAAAAAATATTAAAACTTTAAGATATATAAAGTAAATCTATATTCGCTAAGCCTCTAGATATACGAGATATATTATTAAAACTAAATTCTAAAAGAAACTCTAACGTAGTATATATAATATCGGCGCTTTAACGTAAATAACGCTAAGGTCTATAACGTATTAAATTTAATAATAAATTAAAAATATCTTATAGTCGTTCGATATTTAAAAGAGCTATAAATTTTATTCTTCGCGAGCGCTTTAATCTATCTAAATACGTAGATAATTATTAGCTTACGCGATTTATAAGTTATAATTCTTAATATAAAATACGTAAATAAAAGTCTCTTATAACTTAATGAAAGAATACGTATAAATTAGAAGTTATTTAGAACTGGTTTTAACGTTTTTAGAGTATTTATTAAGAGTTTAAAATATAAGTAAAGAATATTTATAATTTTAATAAGATTAAATTTTAAATTAAAATAGATAAGAGTTAATAGATTATTATAGAAGAAAAAGAATTTTTATTTTATTAAACGAATATAAATAATAGAGAGTATATTACGTTAATCGAGTGTATTGATAACTTAAACTATACGCTTTCTCTAATACTAATTTTAATTAAAAAATAATACTTTAATAATTAATTTTAAGAGAGTCTTAATTTCGATACTTTATAAGCTATTAATAATATCGAATACGTAAACGATAATCTATATAAGGCCTGAATTAAGTATTTTAATTATTTTACGAAGAGAAGACGTATAGAAATATATAGATTATTACTATTTAATAATTATAGTAGTTATCTTATAAGAGAAGTATTTAAATATATAAAGAATAATAATAATATTTTATTCTATTTACTTCTATACTCTTTATATCTATATTAGTTATTAAATATAGATGTCTTTTAGCTATTTAAATATTAATATATTAAGATAATTAATATCGTAATACGTTAAGCTAGCGATAATTATTTAAAACTCGATTTTTTAACTAATTTTTAAGTAATTTATAATCGAATCTTTATTAAATTAACTATTATATTTAAATAGCGAGAAATAAGCCTTTTTTTCTATAATTCTACTATTATTTTAAATTATTTAGCTAGATTTTAACGAAGAAACTCTTCGCTAAGAAATAAGACTTTAAAATAAAAGATACTCGATCTTGAAAACTAGCTAATATTATATACTTATCGTTAAATTATATAATATAAAAAGAAATTACGAAATATATATCTAATCGATTAAATGTTTAATAGATATATTTATAAAATAGAAGCGAAGATACTTTTAAATCTTCTCGTTAAGCGAGAATTAAATACTATTTAATAAATTATAGTAGCTCGAGTAACTCGAAAAGTAGAATCTAATATTATAATATAGAAGAAAGATATTATCTACTCTTATTAAGCTCGAAATAAGATTATTATATATAAGAAAACGAAGGTTATAAAGACTTTAAAGGCTTTAGAGTAGATAAATATCTAAGAGTCTCGAATATATAATACACTTAGAAATAAGAAGATTAAGTGATTTAAGGCTACTATAACGAGGGCTAGATAGTTAATTAAGATTAAAAGAACTAGAGAGGTTAAAATAGATGATAATAGTTTATAGTATATATATATGTGGGTGGGTAGGTAAAATAATTGAAAAAATCCGTATTGGGGCGGCCTTAGCGTTGGGGTGGCCCATACTAAGTGTAACGTGTTCCCATACGATTACCTACTATCCTTGGGGTCTGTGCGCGTTTTTCTCTGTGCCAAGCATTGTAGATACACTTGCACACGCTAAAACCAAGACGGCGCTAAAAGACATCAGCTTTGGCACCACAACAACAACAACGCGAGAAGCAACATTACCACCTCTCCTAATCTCATCAGACAACATTTCACGTCCAAAACAAACCCACAGTACAACATAATTGAGAAAGATTCTAGACCTGATACCCTACATAACTACCGCGTGCGCGCTTGAACCTTTTCCTTGCCACGATGCCTAAAGCCAAGACACCCAAGAATCTAGGTAAAAATATATCTAGATCCACCATCGGCAACGGTCCTTCTAACAGATGCTTGTATCAATAGTTGTCGACGGAACCGCGAAGCTTGCCGCTAAGTCGAAGCCCAGTGACAAACATGAAGCTCCTGATCTCAACATCGAAGAAGCTACAGTAGCATCACCAAGACCATCGCGTAAGCGCGCAGGCAATTACTTCGACTTTGATGATGACGCAGATGCGGAACAATCAAGCAAGCCAGCTGAACCGAAGGCTGTCAAGCCCAACAAAAAGACAAAGACAGCACCTGCTGGTAAAGAGGAAAGATCAAATCAAGTTGAAGCGAAGCCAGCCGAGACTGTGAAGAGAGGCAAGAAGGGAAAAGGTGCGAAAGATGAAGTCGCTGAACCGCCAAGCGAGACGAGCAACAAGGGAGTAGAAAAGCAAAAGAGGTCAAGGGGGCCGAAGGTTGCCAAGGATGATGTGGCCGAAGAGAAGCCTGAGAGCTCAAACAAGTCGAAGAAGGCGCCCAAGGAGCTAACTGCAGATAAAAAGCCCAAGACCGACGCTACTTCAAAGACCGCCAAGGCTGAGACGAAGGTGAAAGCCAAGAAGTCAAAAGCCGAGAAGGGTGCTGCCGAACAGGAAAGCTCTACCGTCCTTCCGGATGTTGCTATGGATGAAGCGCCATTTGAGACACTGTTAGAGGCGGGAAAAGGACAGGCTCCTGGAGCTATGGAGAAGCAACCCGCTACTCGCCCTCAAGCAACAAAGCCTCCGAAGACTGCCAAGAAACCTGCCAAGGAGTCGAGCAAGATTGAGTCTGCTAAAGCTTCCGCTGCGGAAACAGCTGCCGACGGCGCAGATATTGCGAAGAAAGGGGCCAAGGCTGGAACCGATAAGGTCAAGAAAGCTGCGAAATTTAAGGCTCCAGCTACCGAAACAGCTGCCGACGTCGCAGATATTGCGAAGAAAGGGGCCAAGGCTGGAACCGATAAGGTCAAGAAAGCTGCGAAATTTAAGGCTCCAGCTACCGAAACAGCTGCCGACGTCGCAGATATTGTAAGAAAAGGGGCCAAGGCTGGGACTGAGAAAGCCAAGCAAGCTGCGAAAACCATGGCTCTAACTGCAGAGACGCCCGCCGGGTTTGCTGATGTTGTGAAGAAGGATGCCAAAGCTGGCGCCGAAAAGATGAACAAAAAAGCGGTTTCAAAAGATTCTAAGCCCGCCAAGGATGATAAGTCCGTCAAGCTCACAGCATCTACCGAAGAACAATCGAAGCCTGAGGCGTCCAAATCCAAGAAGCGCAAGGCCCCCGCGAGCGCAGATACTGAGATCGTGAAGACTAACATTCTCGATCCGTTGTCTGAGCATGCTTCGGCAAAGAAGAAACAGAAGAAAGCAAACACCAAGTCCAAATCCGTTGGAGATGCTGTAGGAGATGCTGTAGGAGAGCTCTTAGCAACAGCAACTGAAGGAGCCAACGCCGCAAGAGCCTCCCTTGGAGGTCTTGCTTCTTCGATCATGGGAGGCGCTAGCGAAGCAGCGGAGGGGGCAACGGACGCAAAGGAATTAGCGAAAGCTTCAGCTAAGAAGGCCAAGGGTAAGGGCAAAGCCATAGCGGAGGACGTAGCTGAATCTTCTGGCAAGATAGCAGAAGTTGACGGGCCTGGGGACGCCGAGTCGGAAGACGACTCGCACGATGAGCCGGACGACCAAACCACCGCCCTCCTCGCAGGCTTCGAGAGCGACGGCGACGAAGCACCCGTTCCGGGCTCCGGCTTTCAACAAGGCCAGGAACTCCCTCGGCTGCCTAAAGCGGAGACCACCGCAAAGAAACTCGAGGACGTCAGAAATGGTGCTAACGAGGGACCAGGCGTGGTGTACGTAGGGCGTATTCCTCATGGCTTCTATGAGCATGAGATGCGGGAATACTTTTCCCAATTCGGCGACATCAGTCGCCTCCGCTTGTCACGCAGCCAGAAGAGTGGTGCTTCCCGGCACTACGCCTTTATTGAGTTCACTTCGGCTGGTGTTGCTAAGATCGTCGCTGATACGATGGACAATTACCTCATGTTTGGGCATATCTTGAAGTGCAAGGTAGTAGCAAAAGAGCAGGTACATGAGCAGCTGTGGAAGGGTGCCAACAAGCGTTTCAAAGCTGTGCCATGGAACAAGATTGAGGGGAGGAAGTTCGAGATGGGACTCGGTAGGGAGCAATGGGCTGGTAGAATCGAAGAAGAGAAAAAGCGTAGGGCGTCCAAGAATGAGAAGACTAAGGAAATTGGGTATGAATTTGAGGCGGGCGATTTGAAGGGCGTTGACGAAGTGCCCGTCAGAGATGTAGCGAAGAAGATCGAGAATGGGGAGAAGGTCGAAGAGGAGAAGTCGTTGGTGACGGCTGGGGGTGAAGATGGCAATGGTCCTGTCGTCGTGAGCGAGGAAGTCAAGACTAAGAGAGTGAAGAAGGTTAAAGGCAGGGCAGAAGAGACCACTACCACTTTGGCAAAAAAGACGAAGAGGGCACTGGCTGCTGGCGAAGAGGTGGTAGGTTCTGCAGTCAAGAAGGCCAAACAAGGGAAGAACGTAGCTGCCTGAAGGGTGCTAGATCGCTGAGCATCTCGCATCAACCATCTTGAATCTTGACTAGATGGAATGGAATTCTGTAACAAACAACACGCACACAACAGCGCTGGGAATACTCGCCGGATATTAGCAAGCACATTATTAAATAAATAGTTCCCGAGTTAGTGTTCCTCCAGTTCCCCTAGTGCTGCTGCTCCTCTTGCCATGATCAATCTTCGGTTCTTCTCCCACTTAATCCATGCCATGGCTTGAAGCAAGCAATCAGCCAAATCATCAAGCTTTTCCACCGAATCCTGCGCAACACCCTGTGCTTTGGATTCTGACAGCTTCTTCTGCTTCACCAACGACTTGCTATCTTTCCTCCGCTTCTTCCTCAAATATGCTTGACCCAACTGCGCAGCTGCTCCTTTCATTTCAAAGTGAGCTCCTTCATCCAACCATTCCGCAACTAATTCTATCTTTGCTGTCTTAGTCTTCGCGCTTTTGGAACCCGGTCCCTCCTTTAAAGCACCCTGCTTGTTCGTGATCCAAAAATTCGATACCTTCGAAGGAGCAATCGGATGTACAGTCCCCTTCCATAATCCACGTTCCGCAAATGTTTTCAAGACAGCATAAACCATTGCTTCGAACATATTAACGCGCAGAGTCCATTCCTGCACTGCTGATCCACCCATTGATCTAAATCTTTGCCGTTCAATTAGAATGTGGGTAGGTTTGAGGTCCTCTAGGAGAGTGGTGATAAGGTCGTATGCATGCTGGGAGTAAGTTGCTGGATCGAACGCCTCCTTTGGATTTGAAATTTTGATCTTCCCTGACCGCTTCACTTCTTTGATCGCCTTGTTCGGCACCAGATCTTCAGCTTGCTTTGACTTGTCCAAGCCTTTAGAAATAGCGATACGAGTCCAATCTTCGACCACGGGGTTTCCAATATCTGTCGCAATCCCGCTGCCGGTACGAGGAAGGACGAGGCAGCAGTATGCGAGGTTGCGAATGCCCATATCTATACTGAGGATCCTGCATGGCTCCTGTAGAGTATCCCGGTGCTTATAAGGAGCGAGAGTTGCTTTGGGAAGATGGTCTAGCAGATGGGCGGTCAGAATAGGTTTGGTACCAGACGAATTGACGCCAACAGCTCTAGCTAAGATTCCGAGCTGGGAGTTGGTACAGGAGCCGAGCCAGGATAATCGCGACGCCATCCATACTTTAATGGTACGAGTGTATCGATCAACCAACCAATCTCTCGTGGGAAGAAAGTTGACGATCCAAAGATTGCGTCGAGAAGCGACCGAGACCTGACGCGACCCGAACTCAAGCATTTATGTGAGGTACTCCAGACTCGTATTCTACCTAGAACACCGGGCCGGGCCGACGCCGCCCTTAGGGTGCTGACTGGTACTGGACAATGATTCGGGTCATTTCATCATCATTATCTAAAAGTTGTGCTGTGTTTTCCATCTTCTCTTCCTTTTCATCTCTACACGTAATTCTGCGAACAAGTCATTCTCCATTGTATCGCATACTTTTTCAAGCTGTCTCACCCAACTCTCCTTCGCTCTGTCAGCCACCATACTGCTGCAACAGCAGTATTACCACGGCTATCCGCATTCTCCCGTCACTTCTCTGTCTCTTTCCCAGCCATGGCTCCTATTACTAAAGAGTGTGATTATCTCGTCATTGGAGGAGGTAGTGGTGGTCTGGCCTCTGCAAGAAGGGCTAGTGGACAATGGAGTGCGAAGACAATCGCTGTAGAAAGTAATCGCCTGGGGGGTACCTGTGTCAACGTTGGGTTCGGACCATCCCTAGGGCTCACAAAGAAACTCCTGGCATACTGATCTTCATCAAGGTGCGTCCCCAAGAAGGTCACCTGGAACGCTGCGGCAATTGCAGAAACCCTACATGAAGCCAAAGCATACGGCTTCTCTATCAAGGAGACCGCTCCTTTCGATTGGAAAACCTTCAAACACAAGCGTGATGCTTACGTCGAACGCCTGAATGGCATCTATGCTAAAAACCTTGGAAACGATCACGTTGAATGGCTTCACGGCCGCGCTCGCCTCCGTTCGAAGAATGAAGCCGAGGTTGTCCTCGACGATGGCAGCAAAGAAACCATTCGCGCTAAAAAAATCCTACTGGCCACAGGCGGCCACCCAAACATTCCGAAAATTCCAGGAAGCGAATTGGGCATAACTTCTGATGGTTTCTTCGACTTGGAAAAGAGGCCGGAGAAGGTGGCTCTTGTCGGAGCAGGCTACATCGCTGTTGAGATGGCCGGCATGTTCCACCACCTTGGTAGCGAGACGCATCTGTTCATTAGACACGACAAGTTCTTGCGTAACTTTGACCCAATGATCCAAGACAAGATCGTGTCCGAATATGAGCGCCAGTACGTAATCTCAGCTTCCATGTTTCGTCTTTTTGACCAAGTATTGAGTCTTGTGACATGTCTTGGCAGTCCTAACTCTCGCAACGTGTTCATAACCCCTCCTTCAATAGGCAATACTGACTGCGAGATTGTAAGAGGTATAATTATACACCGAAACTCCTCGCAATCTGAAGTGGAAAAGCACCCTGAGAAAGCTGGCTGGTTGAAATTGCATTACTCAGACTCTGAAAATAAATCGGGTACTCTTGACATTGACTGCCTCCTCTGGGCTATTGGCCGTAACCCCGAAGTCGAAGATCTAGGTTTAGATAAAGCAGGCGTCAAGCAGAATGAACGCGGCCAGATCATTGCGGACGACTACCAGAATACCAATGTTGACGGCATATATTCCCTCGGAGATGTCTGCGGCAAGATCGAGTTGACTCCGGTTGCGATAGCGGCCGGACGCCAACTTGCCAATCGACTCTTCGGCGGCCCTGACTTCAAGAATGCAAAGCTAGATTATACAAACATTCCCTCTGTCGTTTTTGCCCACCCAGAAGTCGGCTCAATAGGCATGGTAGGTACATTTCAAGACTGATCACTCCCATTTGGTATTGAAGTTGAGTCGCAAAACACGTTTTCGGGAGCAAGAAGACTTTTCTTCCTCCTAAACCTGTCTTGCAATTCTATTACCTACCTCAGATAAGCGATGCTGACTCCGAAATTTGCGTAGACAGAACCAGAAGCCCGTGAGAAGTATGATGACAAAGTCAAGGTATACAATACGAGTTTCACGGCAATGTACTATGCCATGATGGAGCCAGATGAGAAGGCGCCTTCGAGCTACAAGCTCATCTGTGTCGGTCCAGAGGAGAAGGTGGTTGGACTGCACATTCTGGGAAGTGGCTGCTCTGAGATGCTGCAGGGCTTTGGTGTAGCAGTCAAGATGGGTGCAACGAAGAAGGATTTTGATAGCTGCGTGGCTATACATCCTACAAGTGCTGAAGAGTTGGTGACATTGAAGTAGAAATGAATCCGCTGAGGCTAGAAGTACTTAAGAGCTTGTGCCTTGCATAGGATCTGCACGATCTGCACATGTGAAAAAAGCTTGTGATGACGTGGGGTCACAATTCCGGGTACATCCACGACCATGGTTCAGATATGTTTGATATCTTCTAATCATACAGCACTTTATACAGACAACCAAAGCGCTACCAAAGGATTTTGTGCACTTCAATATGGCATCAACGCATCAACTGAAGGTTCAAGATATCTTCTCTGTAAAGGACTATGTCTGCCTTGTACGCACCCTTTCCGAGCAATTGCTTCCCTTTCAATACTTTTGTCTTAAGGCTCAGGACTTGTTGCTGGAATACGAAGTCGATGTTGAGGCCTTAAAGCTCCTCAGACCTGTCTTGTAATTTGAAGTTTGTCTTGAAGTGGAACGGCTAACTCGGTAATGATGTAGGTCACTGGAGGTGGTACAGGCATTGGTCTGATGGCAACTCAAGCCTTGGCTGCTAATGGTGAGACACTCAGCCTTCCGCTATATCTGTAGAGTCGTTCCTCAGAGTTAAGGACATGAACAACATTCCCGACAGCTAACGGAATCAGGCGCCAAGGTCTATATCACAGGCCGCCGGATGGAAGTACTCGAAAATGCCGCCAAAAACCACAGTCCAGAAGGAGGAGGACATATCATACCGTAAAGTCAACCGGCAAGCTAATAGGAGAAAGAACGCTGACCAATACACTTGTAGCATTGGACCATGTGACGTCACTTCGAAATCAGATCTCGAGAAGCTTGTCCAAAACTTGGCCTCAAAGGAAAAATATCTCAACTTGCTCAGTGTGTCGCTTCGTCTCTTCACTGCCAATAACCTTCTGTTACTGATCCCACCCGCACAGTAACGAACGCAGGCGTTTCCGGGCCCAAGGCCCCACCGGACTCCACCTCTGCGGACGAGTTACACGACAAGATTTGGCAAGCCGAGTCGGTCGATGACTGGTCCAGTGTATTAAAGACCAATGTAACGTCCGTTTATTTCAGCACCGTCGCATTCCTGCCCCTCCTACAGGCATCCATTGGAGAAAAATTTGCTCCACGCTCGCCTTCTGTCATCGTCATTTCAAGTATGAGCGGCATAATGAGGCACAGCCAAGGCCACTTCGCCTATAACGCGGCAAAAGGAGCCACGGTACACCTCAGCAAGCTCATGAGTGCAGAATTTGAGAAGGCGGAGGTAAGGGTAAACAGCATAGCTCCGGGCTACTTCCCAAGCGAGATGACCATGAAGGAGAGCGATGACAGTAACAAGACTCACATGCCGGCGGAAAAGGTCCAAGAGAAAGGGCATGTGCCCGCGGATAGGCCAGGCAGTGATGAGGAGATGGCACAAGCAGTAATTTTCTTGTGCAAGAATTGTTATGTCAATGGAGAGCTGATTGCGGTCGATGGTGGGGTACTCAACCAGGTGCCGGGGAGATAAATAAAAAGCTATGGAGCAGTGCTAGAGGCAGCATAGAAGACCAGAGATCAGGATGCTACATATGAAGATTAATGTCTAGCATGCAGGCTGCTGACACTTTCGATACCACCATCTCCTCTTTTGACTTTCCTGTCTTTTGGCTCTAGTCCAGACGAGCTGGACGGAGAGCGTCCAGGAATTGCTTGTGACCCCGTCTCACCAGTCAATTTTTCTATAACCTTGATTTTGCCCTCTGCACGATTGAAGCGATCGTCAAATTCCGACACAGAGTTCTCGTCGTTAGCTGTTGAGAGACTTTCTGGCTCTGTAAGAGCATATAGCGTTCGAAGATGTTTCTCCAAGCGCACATTGGCAAGTAGACTGGGGACCTCTGTTCGTCCTGGTAGTGTTTCTACTTCAGGCTGAACACCTCCTCCGCTGCTCTCTTGTACTGATTGGCTCGTAAAAATTGTCTGCATGTCTGCAGTGCCGGCATTTTGCCTGTCAGATACAGGAGTATCTTTTAAGAATGGAAGTCTCCCTGTCCATATCACTGCTCTTCCATACAGGTTGCCCATGGAGGCGTATTTCTCGAAGCCCTTTTCGAGCCCGAATAAGCGGCCTTCAATCAGTCCGGCGCGATTACCGTCCGAAGCCCCGAGATCGTAACCCTCTTTGTAGAATTCATCTTCGAGAGTGAGAAGGGAATCGAAGGGATCGTTCTCATGTGTAGCCATCATGACAAGCCTGTAGGTGCCAGCGGAAGATGGTGAGTGGTGTCGCGAGTCGCAAGTGACATATTGATCGAGATTCGAGACCGAGGTCTTCTAGTGTACTCTACTCTTGGCTCTAGGTACCGCCTCGGCGGCACAGCGCACCTGAAGGCCCGGGCACTTTTCTACCACTAACTACCTACAATTCTTGAGAGTACTAGAGATGCTTCTTTATCAGCACATTTGAATCTCATTCTTCAGAAGACCGCATTCTCACCGTTGTTATACAAGTCTCAAGCCTGGCTGTTAGTCTTCGGCAAGGTGCCACCGGCTAGATAGCGAAGTTTGGGAAGGAGCGCTTCCTTCTCTTGCCTGATGAGGACGCTCCCGCCATAGCCAAGGACACCTCGTCCTTATCGATTATCAGACTACAGGCACGAGGGCATAGAAGGTTGCCTCCAACTGTGTGTGCGACGACGTTGCGACCCGGTAATGCCTGGCCCACGGCTTGGTCCTGTCCGGCGACATTTGCTTCCTACCTCATTCGCGATCTGGACATGGCTCAGCTTATGTATGTGGATGTGGAATGTCTCGGCGGCAGAGAAAACTGCAGCAGACTACTATGTCCAGTCTTTGCCTGGCCAGCCAGACGGCCCGCTTCTGAAAATGCATGCTGGGTAAGAGGGCAAATATCATCCCATCTCCTGTACTTGGATTGACATTCTCATAGTCACATCGAAGTCAATCCTGCGCACAATGGCAATCTCTTCTTTTGGCACTTTCAGAATCGCCATATAGCCAATCGGCAACGGACGGTATTATGGTTGAATGGCGGACCGGGCTGCAGTTCGATGGATGGTGCTTTAATGGAGATTGGACCCTACCGACTAAAGGATGAATCGACTCTTCGATACAATGATGGATCTTGGGATGAATTCGCCAACATCCTTTTCGTCGATAATCCTGTCGGGACAGGCTTCAGCTATGTTGATACAGATAGCTACATTCATGAGCTCAAGGATATGGCTGATCAAATGATTCTCTTCCTGAAAAAGTTCTTCGAAATGTTCCCCGAGTACGAGGATAATGATGTGAGTACCCACCGTTAAAAAGGAAAACTCTGCTCAATAGTAATATTACGACAGCTTTACATTGCTGGAGAATCCTACGCAGGGCAACATATACCATATATAGCCCAAGCTATTCTCTCCAATAACAATTTGCCTAATCAGTCCAAAAAGTGGAATCTGTCTGGTCTCCTTATAGGGAACGGGTGGATATCGCCCGTCGAGCAATACGACTCGTACCTCACAATGGCCTACGACGCTGGCGTAATCCAGGGCGGCTCTGCCGAGGCAAATGAGCTTGAAAAGCAGCATCAGAGGTGCACCGACGCTCTCAATCAGCCAGGAGGTTTAGACAAAGTTGATCTGCCACCATGCGAGTCCATCCTCCAATCAATCCTGAGACTTTCTCAAAAGGACGGACAGTGCTACAATATGTACGACGTCCGTCTTCGAGATAGCTACCCCAGCTGCGGTATGAATTGGCCCCCAGATCTCACAAATGTCACACCGTACCTGCGGAGGGATGATGTCAAAGCGGCTCTGCATATCAACAAAGACAAGAAGTCCGGATGGACGGAATGTTCTGGAGCGGTGGGCTCAAATTTCAATACCGCCAAATCCAAGCCAACCATACAGATTCTGCCCGACATCCTGAAACAAATGCCCGTCATCCTCTTTTCCGGAGACCAAGATCTTATCTGCAATCACATCGGCACCGAAGAGCTCATCCACAACATGGAATGGAACGGCGGCAAAGGTTTTGAACTTTCTCCCGGAACATGGGCCCCTCGCAGGCATTGGACTTTCGAAGGAGAGCCAGCAGGACTTTACCAAGAAGCTCGAAACCTGACTTACATTCTGTTTTACAATTCATCCCACATGGTACCTTTCGACTATCCCAGGCGAACAAGAGACATGCTTGATCGATTCTTGGGTGTAGATATAGCGAGCATTGGCGGTAAGCCAACGGATTCCCGGATTGATGGCGAAAAGGGGGTAGAGACGAGTGTGGGCGGTCACCCTAACAGCACATCAGCCGAACAGGCAGAAGCAGAGAAGCTTGAGGAAGCCAAGTGGGCTGCATACTACAAATCGGGTGAGGTAGCACTGATTGTAGTCATCATACTTGCGAGCGTATGGGGCTTCTACGTCTGGCGGGATCGGCGCAGAAGGGCAGGCTACGACGGTCTATTCGGAGGTTCAAACACCCATCTGGTCAGGAGTAAGAGGCAAGCCAGGGACGTTGAAGCAGCAGATTTCGATGAAAGCGAGCTGGATGAGCTGCATGTTGCGAGCCCGGACCCACACCATGATGGAGCGGAGGAAAGATATAGTCTTGACGAAGAGAGTAGTGACGAGGAAAGACGGAGGAAGGCTAATGGGCATGCGAATGGGCATGTCAGTTTTAAGGATTAGTAATGAGTTCCTGAGCGTTGTTGCATGGCGCCGGAGTCAAGGATAAAGGACCCATCTTGCATTATCACACAAATGTATATTCTTCAAGAGAGTGATCACTCACACCATCTTCTCCGATCCTGGCCACGGTCAAGGCACATGACCAAGCGTGCTGGTGGCTCTTCTGTACAATTGAGGGGAGTGACGGAGGCTTACGGGGGTTACGAGTACTACTAGGATACAAAGATATTCGAACATCCAATAGTCTTGTGGATATCCTTTTCGGTCTTACGACTCGAGCGGGCCATCTGATATAAGACATACTTGTGAATGATAAGAGTGGTATGGAGTAGTTTCCAATTATTCAATGCATGCTGTGCATATGAGGGAAATAGGGTTCGCTAATCTCTGGCTCCCAGGCCTCATGAAAAATGCTTGTTGTTCATCAGATACCAAAAGGCATTATCTTGTCTTCAGCGGCACTCCGACACCACACTGGGTCTGCAGAGTGCCTAAGTGCTTGACTCTATGATTGTTATATCATCATATGAACAGATTTTTGATGGACGTCTGGCCCGTATGACCGAGCACACCTTGCCTTTTCTGTCTTCTGCTCCCATGACGATGGTGCGAGGGAACGCGAAGGACCAGAAACCCAAGATACAGAGCCGTAGTAATGAGAAGAATGATAGGGACTCCTCGCCTCAGCTGTAAGCCCCATTGAGTTACCATCATCTTCCTCGCTCCAATCCGGAAACCAGAGCAAGTCAGAAGAAGGCAATCACATGTCTATCCATCTCGACGAATGTATCCTCCATCCACGCACCTATGAGCTCCCTTCCTCACATCCAAACACGATCATGACCTCCTCTTCCCACTCCCAACCCAAGCCATGCGGTGCACAGATCAGTCGAGCTCGGACTCTTATCTTCGCCCATGCGGTCTCTCAGACTGCACCCCGGCGCCCGAGAAGAAAGTGAGAGGAGTACCAACAGCCAGGAAAGGGGTTATGAGGGTAGGAGAGGTGGGGAGGAGATGAACCCCGAAAGTTGCTTTTATGGGGGTGCGTTTCCGCTTTCTCAGTACTCCAAGGAGCAAGAGGTGTCCGGGGACTTTCTCCCAAAGCACTATGTGTAATCGTGAGAAGCCTAAAACACGAGTGTATCGACTTCTCCGTTTGTAAGCTTTGAGTGCGATTATCTGAGCGAGGAGTGAACAGAAGAAAGAGAGATTGTGGCACAAGTTTTGGCTCAGAAAAGTCGGTAGGGCTTAGCGCGGAAATGTACAGACGCAGACGCGCAGGACGCGCTGGAATTTGGACGATACTGACAACTGCTTGAAGCGTCTTGACATTATGGCCAGGGGTAAAGTAATCCTTTTGCTACAACAAATGGACTGAGAGCTTCAACACTTTCCCGTTTCTTCCCTTGTTGCTCTCCACTTTTCTTCTGTGTTGCCAGTTCTCAGACCTCAAAAATGTCCGGCCTCTTCGGAAGTGCAACCAGCGCAAGTGCATCCGCCGCAAACAGTACCACGGGCGATATCTCGAAAGACGTTACACTGAGCAACCCACCAGAAGACAGCATCTCAGATATCTCATTCTCCCCCCAATCAGAACATCTCGCCGTTGCATCATGGGACAAGAAAGTCCGCATCTACGAAATCAACGCACAAGGAGGGAGTGAAGGGAAAGCTCTCTTCGAGCATGAAGGTCCTGTACTGAGCTGCTGCTGGTCGAAGGTACCTATCTCAATCTTGTGTATCTGTGGGCGCCCCACACTGACACTTGTCGCAGGATGGTACGAAAGTAGTCGGCGGTGGTGCCGACAAAGCAGCTCGCCTCCTCGACCTTGGCGCTGGCGCTACTACTGCTCAGCAAGTCGCTGCCCACGACCAGCCAATACGCTGCGTGCGCATGATCGATGTCCCTGGACAAGCTACACCAGTGCTTGTGACGGGGTCCTGGGACAAGACAGTCAAATACTGGGATCTACGGCAACCCAACCCCGTAGCAAGTGTCGGGTGCCAAGAGCGAGTTTACAGCATCGATAGTAAAAACAACCTCCTCGTCATCGGTACAGCGGACCGGTACATCAACATCGTGAACCTTGACAAACCAACCGAATTCTACAAGACCCTACAATCTCCACTGAAGTGGCAGACCCGCGTGGTAACCTGCTTTTCGGATTCTTCTGGCTTCGCCGTCGGCAGCATAGAAGGCCGTTGCGCCATTCAATACGTCGAAGAGAAAGATTCATCTTCAAATTTCAGCTTCAAATGCCACAGACAAACACCACCCAACACCAGAGACATCAGCAACGTCTACTCCGTCAATGCTATTTCATTCCATCCCGTTCACGGGACATTCAGTACTGCAGGCTCTGACGGCACATTCCACTTCTGGGACAAAGACGCGAAGCATCGCCTGAAAGGGTATCCAGAGGTTGGAGGGACCATTTCAAGTACCGCCTTCAATCGGGGCGGGAATATTTTTGCCTATGCCGTGAGCTATGATTGGAGCAAGGGGTATTCCGTGAATACTCCACAGACGGTGAACAAGGTCATGTTGCACGCGGTACAGGGGGACGAGTGTAAGCCGAGGCCGAAGGCTGTGAAGAGATGATCCCGCGAAGGAACAGTCAAGTTTGACATTCCTCAAAATGAAAGGCAGGAACGGTTCGGTGATTTTTTTTGAGCGGCTTAGATACCACCAAGCGTTTGGCGAAGAGCAGTGGAAGCTCGTAAGGGGGTTACCAGGTCATTTGTGGAGATCTGTGGCCAGGGACTGTATCAAGGATGCAGCATCACAGGAATGATTTTAATGAACTCCTTTTGACCCCAGAGCTGCGGGCGGTAAAAAGCTGGATAGGAATACAAACTCACCAAAACAGACTTTGACCATTTCACACGATTTGATGCTTTACATGTCCGTTACTAAGCTATCTCGGCTTCATACCTTAGTTCTTCGTACCCTCTTTCTTGGCCAGCAAATTCAATGCACTCCCTGCTAATATGAATCCAGCCTGATCTTTGCTGATCGTATGTCTGACCTTGATTATCTGCTCTCCGTCCTTCTTTTCACACTTCAGACTTACGTCTCCTTTGCCGCCGTTTCGTAACATGTCATACAGACCGATTGTAGACACCACGTCTCCTGCCCGGACTGTTTCATAGTCGCCCTCGTTGTCAAAGACCAGAGGTACGATTCCTTGCTTCTTCAAATTCGTCTCATGTATCCTAGCGAAGCCTTTGGCGAGTATGACACGCGCGCCCAGATATCTAGGCTGCAACGCAGCATGCTCTCTCGCACTACCTTCGCCGTAGTTACTCTCAGCAACCACCATCCACTCTTTCCCTTGGTTCTTCCACTTCTCAGCTAGTTGCGGAATGCCGCTTTTGGGCGGCTCACCAGACTCTGCAAGATTATAATGGTCGTAAGCGATGTTTGTCTCGCCAGTCTCTGCATTCACGGCGCCAATCAGCGTATTCGCACTTATATTAGGTAGATGGCCTTTGTATTTAAGCCATGGGCCTGCAGCGGAGATTGTATCCGTCGCTTGATGATTTCGGAGTCAGCATTACTCTTTTGGGAGGGATTCTGAAATCGCGAGACATGTCTCAGGAGCAGACAACTCTGGAGACATATTTGACGACTCGTAAGACAGCGTGAATGGGGAAGAATTGCCTCGGAAATTATAACGTACTGCATTGACCTTTGACTTTATATAGGACACGGAGACCTTCAAGTTCTCCAGCAGGAAATGGAGCAAACGGTTCAAGAACGGCCAGACGATCGGAAGTTGGAGATATGATGACGGGATGGTCAGGAGAAGGAACACCAGGATTTGGGGCGAACTCTGGCTTGCCTTGGGCAAAGCCTGCAGACGGGAGGTCGAGTCCTGAAGGAGGAGAGAATTGGAATGGGTTGCCAGAGGGCGTGGGAATTGTGTCGGTCAGTGGGTTGAAGATTGTGCTGCCTGCATACGACATAGCGGTGACGATCTCGGGTGAGGCAAGAAAATTCATAGTTGATGGGTTGCCATCGTTTCGCCCCTTGAAGTTACGGTTATAGGATGAGAAAATGGCATTCGTTTCACCTTTCGAGACGCCATCGGTACGTTTCCACTGGCCGATGCATGGTCCGCAAGCATTGGCTAGGACAGTGCCACCAGCGGAGGAGAAGGTCTCCAACGTCGAGTCGCGGGCAAGTGTTGCTCGGATTTGCTCACTGCCTGGTGTGATGAAAAAGTCGGCCTTGGGCTCCAAACCGACAGCTGATGCTTGCTTGACAATATTTTCGGCCCTGGTCATATCCTGGTACGAGCTGTTTGTGCAACTTCCGATCAATCCTGCGCCAAAAGATTCCGGCCATTTGTTGATCTTGACCGCATCCTTGAATTGTGAAAGAGGCGTGGAGAGATCTGGCGTGAATGGTCCGTTGATATGCGGTTCAAGACTAGAGAGGTCGATAGTAACAACTTCGTCGTATAGGGCCTCGGGGTCAGCGCGGAGCAACTGGTTTCCCTCTCCACTCAGTAGAGCGTAAATGCCGACTTCGCGCAATAAATCAAATCTATGCGTCGATCGCAGGTAAGGCATCATGCTCTGCGTGAACGGAAATAACGACGTCGTGGCACCCACTTCGGCTCCCATATTGGATATTGTAGCCATGCCAGTACAGCTGAGAGTGTGTACACCCGGGCCAAAGTATTCAATGATAAAACCCGTGCCCCCCCGTACAGTCAGGAGACCTGCCAGCTTCATGATAACGTCTTTTGGGGCAGCCCAACCGCTCAACTGCCCTTGCAGTTTAACACCCAGAATTCGGGGAGCTTTCAATTCCCACGGCGCATCCACCATGGCATCTACTGCATCGGCGCCACCAACACCAATAGCGATGGCACCCAAGCCGCCGGCATTTGGAGTGTGACTGTCGGTTCCGAGCATCATGAGGCCCGGCGCAGCATAATTCTCCAGGACAGTCTGATGTATAATACCCGCGCCAGGCGGCCAGAACTCGATCCCATACTTTTTAGCCGCTGACTCTAGGAAATCAAAGACCTCCTTGTTACCGGTAATCGAAGCAGGAAGATCAACGTCTGCGCCTCTTTCCCCGACTATCATATGGTCACAATGGATACTCGTAGGCACTGCAGTAGATGGGAGGCCGCAAGACATGAATTGCAGCAGCGCCATCTGTGCAGATGCATCTTGCATGGCCACCCTGTCCGGCTTGAGTTTGAGAGTGGCATTTCCCCGGACAACCTTGCCACTTTGGGTGTTTGATAGCAGAGATTCTTCGACGCTATATAAATGCGAGTATAGAATTTTCTCCGCGAGAGTGAGCTGCGTCTCTCTCCCAAGTACATTGTAAACTTCCTTCAGCTTTCTGAGAAGGCCTTTGTAGGGAGGGATTCTCGAGGCGACATTCGAAGCTGCCAGAGTCTTTGCTGTTGTCTCTGTGGCCAAGAATCGAAGGTGAAGGCGGCCATTTGGGCGCAGACGTTTAATATTCTGACAGGGTCAATGAAAGTGACTGTCTGATAACGCGAATGTCAAACCAACCTTCAATGAAGCAACTGCTCTAGATTGCGCACATAACGAGTGCATGATCGCTACATACTACTTTTGATGATTACAGGGACGGTTGAGCCAACATCGGTTAAATCTTTTCGTATTCAACTCTAGACACTGACAATGACAAAAGCCCAGGCTTTCTGACCTTCCCCCACCGCGCAAAAGAATGTCAACCTTTGCAGAACTGATCGAGTTTTCAGTACTGGTTTCTCGATATACAATCCTACGTGTTTACGGGTGTTTGCACTACTGAAACTCAAGCCTTGAAGAATAGGGATCTTTCACATGATTAGACAATGCATGAATTAATTAGTCCGAACTACCCACAGCGAAATAAAGGTGATGAGCAAAGACTGCTCCTAGTCCTGCTGTTTGACTATCCCAAGATCTCTGTCATCAAGCCAGCACTGCTTGTCTATAAAATGTGCATCTGCTCAGAAGAAAGCGAAGAGTTCGAAGTATGACTTGGCGTTGCCGCTGGAGATGCGCAATGTTCCGCCAAAGCGATGCTTCGAGCAGGCTCTATACATGACAAGCGACATCGACCCACTATGGAGTTTTAGGTGATTCACAGGGCCATGGCGATACCAGCGACTGCCAGGAGTCCAGCAGCGACAGAGCCAACATTCTTTGTTGCGGCCCCAGTAAAGCTTGGTCCGGATCCAGTCTTTGACGGAGAGACGGGTGTGATTGGAGAGCCGGAGGCTGCACCCGATCCTGAGCCTGAGCCTGAGCTTGAGGCTGCACCCGATCCTGAGCCAGAGCCTGAGCCTGAGCCTGAGCCTGAGCCTGAGCCTGAGCCTGAGCCTGAGCCTGAGCCTGAGCCTGAGCCTGAGCCTGAGCCTGAGCTTGATCCTGATCCTGATCCTGAGCTCGAGCCCGAACCTGCGGTGCCGGTTGCGAAGGGGCCCGATGCGCCGGTTCCAGTTGCAAGTCCAGTAGCGCCAGCTACGCCACTAGTGCTGTCGACGAGAGTCAGTCGAAGAGCTATTATGGTCAACGGATTTTGGTGTCTTACACAACAGCTGTGGTTTTTGTGCATGAACATTCTTTATCAAAGTATGTGGACGTGGACGTGTATACGACTGGGTAAGGCGCTGAGCTGTTGGAGCTGGCTGATGGAGATGCTGTGCCTGACGCAGATGCCAAGCTTGAAGTTGAGTTAGAGCACGCTAAGAGAGTCGCTGAGTTAGCTAATGATCGATGAACCACGTGAGTAAAGGGCTTCACAACATACAGCCATAACCCGCCTCCTCGCACGCGGTTTTGTATGAAGACAAAGCAGCGGCTTGGTCTCCAGAAGGGCAGAGATCCGACTGGATACGCGACTTGAACTCGGCCGCTTCTTTACAGCAAAGAGTTTTCTGGTCGGCTGCGTAATGTCCAGGTGATGCGGTCTGGAATGAGCTGCGTTGGGTGTTAGCTTATACGGCGACCTCGACGTTGGAGGAGCTTTCATACGAAAAGACTTTCATGAAGCAGGCAGGCTGTACAACTGCTTGGGCAACTGCAACTTGAGCAGAGGCGGCGAAAAGAGCGCAGACGAAAGCGGTTTTGGCGAACATGGCGAAGAATGTTTGTTGTTGCTTTGGTCTGGTGGGTCGATTACAAGAGCGAGAATTAAACTAAGTGAGTGTGTGTTGGGCAAGAGGATTGCGACAGAATGAGCTGAGTGCTAAAGAGCGACTGGGGGTCAAATGTGAAAATGAAGAAGGGTTACTTGGTGATGATAATGAAAAGAGGTGAAAGAGGTGAAAGAGAAGGAAGAAGAAGAGCGCGGCACGTGAAACCTGAAGGGGGAAAACTCAGGGGTTTTGGCTTGCGACTGCCTAATAATAACAAGCGTCTTACTAGGCCTTAGCCACATTTTGGCGTGTCCAGTCAGATTCGCGTCTGTTCCTTCGGCCGATTCCGCGTACCTGCATTATTTTAACGGCCTTTCCGTCAGCCTTGGAAGAATTTGTCTACGGGTAGATGTGTCGTGCCTCTGGAGAGCCAGACATTATTTTCATCTAGGTATAGTGAATATAGTTAGGAATGGGGGAACAAAACAAGTTTTCAAACAAAGCCGAGCATACGGGTTGGAAGTCCTTGAAGGCTTTGTATTTATTAGTGTTCCTATGAATATCAATAATATTGCCAGAGCGCTGCCGTATAATATAATGTTGGTGGCTTGAAACATCATTAACGGGTTGGACCTAGCTGAAGGTCGGCCCAAATTGCAACGGTGCTGGCCACAACTGCAAACGAGTCTAGATTGGTATTTGCTGAGACATAAAGTATCTCTCTTCAAGGAAGCCGGAAAGTTCATTCCCTTCCAGCATCGCGGCAAGATAGCCATAACATTCTCAACCATGAATGGGCATCGTTGCGAGCCACTTCGTCAGAGAACAAAGCGGTCTTGAGGTGCAGCTTCTTGGATCTCTATTGATTCGAGCTTGGCGCTGGATTTGAACGATTCGATTCGGTTGCAGACTCGGCGCTGCCTACCCACGAGAGGATGGAATTATCTGGGATTCTAGGTGCAAGACACTGGTTCATCGCCCTGCTCATCCACCTGTAGCTTCCCTATAGAAAGAAATGCTCCGATTCGCTCCAGCTGTAGCAAACCCTTCATTCTTCCCCGTCTTCGGTAACCACTTGACGCTCCAAACGGTCTTCTCCGTCTCCATATGAGTCGCGACACATGTTCGCTGTTCGATAGACCAGACCTTGACTTTGCCGTCAAATGCGCTGCAACACGTCATTAGAAAGCCTCGGAGAAGCCCACAGTGTCACAAGCATACCCGCTCAACAAATACTCTCCGCTATCGCTCCAGTCCAACGATAGTATCCATGCTCCGTGACCGGTAAGAGTTGCTACCTGGTCGCCAGAAGAGACATCATACAAGGCAATCACCCTGGAGTCACCAGCAGCTGCGAGTAGCGTACCTCTTGGGGAAAATGCAACGGCTCGTACAGGCTTGACGAGGCCTAGCAAGAACTCAGCAGATGTCAATGCACTCCAAAAGTGGGCGACTTGCCGGGCAGTGAGTGGAGTAACCTTCCGGTATCATTGTTGAAGATGTAAATTCCACCATTCTCATGCCCAGAAGCAGTAAATCTTCCATTCACGGACTACCCATATATTAGCCACCATTTCTCGCACCCTTTTAGATAGCGACAGACTAAGTCTATGCTCATCCCGAAACTTCCTTTCGTCTCGAATTCGCGAATCTTGACCCCATCTGCAAGATTGTCCCATACGTTGATTCTCCCATCAAAAGACGTAGCAGCAAGGTATTGTCCATCCTCAGAGAGGGCTATCGACCATATTTCTCCCGCTTTGTTGTCATCTGCACAGATGTCAGGATTCTAGTCTCTTCATACCGAAAACCTTTGGAGAAGGTGAAAAAGGGAAAGTCGCACCCACAATCTTGGTCCTTTCACTCCACCGCCCATCATCTCGTACTGCCCAGATTTTGACTTCGCCCTCAAAGCCCACGCTTGCGGCTACCTGCCCATTTGTGCTTATGGCGGTATGGTGGCAGCCTAATTTGTGAGCATTATCAAGAGTCTGAAAGAGGGGAAAATCCGGTTGGTTGGTGGAGTGAACTCGGATGGACGAAGAGCCGGAAGAGGAGAGGATCTGAGATGCCGTAGTGCTTAGGGAAAAGATGTCTGTGGGATGGGCTAAAGCTTGATGAGAAAGAACATTGTAAAGGAAACGTCGATTAGTTGTAGACTTACCATGATCGATGGTGTGCGTGGTAAGGTATTGCTTTGACTGGCTAAAGTCAAATACGTTCCCTGAATCTGAGGTAATGAGCGTACCATATTTCACGAATTACGGAAATTGTTGCACAATTGATGGTAATTGGACCTCGCAAGATTGAATGCAAGGGAATATCATTAGCGAAGAACGTTGTGAAGGTTAAAGAAGTGAGCTTCGGGAGTCTGGAGGTTTCCTCTACTGGCAGGGTTTACATCTTTCGAGCAAGCCATGAATGGGAGAATCATGCCCCAACCTTGCAACGGTCTGATGATTCACTCAAAGCTTTGCAGCTAGGAACGAATGATACTCTATGCTCATTGTACGCTGATGCACGGAACCTGAAGCTTTTGCATCACACCATACGCCAACCTAATGCTCCTCTGCACCACGCTATACCGCCAAATGGAGTCCCTGATCTCGTATGCAATTATGTATCATGCGTCCACCGTTGCTGTCGTCTCTTTAGACCCTTCGGATCCCTTCTCACCCCACATATCTCTGATCTCTGAAGAAATCCAGCTTAGCAAAGTCCTAGTATCCAACTAGGTTGATACGAACCATTGACGCAAAACGGACACAGCAGATGCGCTCTCTTGACATTACCACAAGCCGAGCACTTATTCAGGGCAGTCACATCTTTCAAAGCCTTCCCAGCCATGAATCGTTGACGCTTTTTCCTATGTGATGTCTTCTTTTTCGGCACCGCTCGCAGAATTGATTCCCAGAGCCCAGCTAATATTGATGGGACGTCGAATCGTGTGACTGTGGACATGGTAACTGATAGCTGTAAAATGGGTTGTAGGATATGTCCGAGAAAGGGGGCGGTCCTTGCACGTAATGGTGATATTGTAATTGGAGAGGCCGTCGCGAAGGGCAAGAGCAGGCGGGGAAACTGCTGGTGTAGGGCCATGACGAGTAGCTGAGGCAATTCACAGTCTTCTTTTCTGGTGATTCGGTCGTGGATGGTACTTCGTTGGAGGAAGTATTGTTATTGATTTTGACTTTACAGAAAAGAGATCAAGGCTGCGCGCTAGCGCGAACCCCCTTTCAAATGTCTGCCGAAGCTCTTCTTCCCCAGCTGTTTCCTTCATCATTGAGTGATTGATGACCAACGAACCCAACCTTGACGCGCTGTCCTGAAGTCAGTTTGTTCCTCGTTTTAAGCATACTCAGGCTTCCACCCTGCTCAGCCCATCATGGCAACTGCGATGTCTCCCCAACAAGGTCCCGTGATGCCCAAGAGCCATGTCGGTTTCGACAGCATTACTACCCAGATTGAACGCAAACTCCTCAAACGTGGTTTCCAATTCAACGTCATTTGCGTTGGTATGGCTAGAGTACACCCTCTATGGCGACAGGTTCTGATGCCTGACAATTGCTGCAGGTCAAACAGGATTGGGGAAATCGACCCTTATAAACACCATCTTCGCATCTCATCTCATAGACTCCAAGGGTCGCCTCTCTCCCTCTGAGCCTGTCCGAAGTACAACCGAGATCCAATCAGTCTCTCACGGTGCGCTCAAAGATTTCCACATACTGGAGAAGTGCTAAAAACATATGATAGTAATTGAGGAGAATGGCGTACGCCTACGGCTCAACATTGTTGATACTCCAGGCTACGGTGATCAAGTGAACAACGACAGATGGTAAGGAGCCACGATCCACATTGATACTGCGGCAATCTAACTCGCTATAGTTGGGATCCCATTGTCAAGTACATCAAGGACCAGCACTCGGCATACCTGCGAAAGGAGCTTACGGCGCAACGAGAGCGATACATCCAAGATACCCGTGTTCACTGTTGTCTTTTTTTCATTCAACCATCAGGTCATGCGTACGTTGCCCGTAGCATCAATGCTCGATTCCGCACAAGAATATACTAACTCTCTCCAGCCTCAAGCCCATAGATATTGTGGTTCTGAAGAAGTTGTCTGATGTCGTCAACGTGGTTCCTGTGATTGCGAAGTCTGATTCGCTGACCTTGGAGGAGCGCATGGCCTTCAAGGAGCGAATCAAGGAAGAATTCACGTTCCACAACCTGCGAATGTATCCTTATGATAACGACGAGCAAGATGAAGAGGAACGTGCCACAAACAGCAGTATCAAGGATCTCATCCCCTTCGCCGTGGTTGGATCAGAGAACTCGATCGTCGTTGGTGGACGATCAGTGCGTGGCCGCCAGAATCGCTGGGGTGTGATCAATGTCGAGGATGAGAACCACTGCGAGTTTGTGTCGCTGAGGAACTTTCTGACTCGCACGCACCTGCAAGACCTCATCGAAACTACCTCGCAGATCCATTACGAGACTTTCCGTGCGAAGCAATTGCTGGCGCTCAAAGAGAACAGTGCTGCTGGTCAAGGTAGCAGGCCTATCAGCCCGTCTGCGGATCGGGAGTTGAGCCGGCAGTCACAAAGAATGACGATGAATGGATATTGAACCGGGAACGCCTGGAAAATTCTCCAGATTCCAGAAAAGTCCACGCGTCTCAGCATGCAGCGCCTCTAGTATTTACTTGCAAGGCCACTGGGAAATATGCGACTGAGATCTTCTGACCCACAAAATAACTGCAAGCGACTTTTCCTAGTGTTGTCCTGTTAGAGTTGCATTTGCTCATCATCAGAGCCCCAAAGATCCGTGTGGGCTGTGAACAGCACCAGTAGACCGCTCAGGTCTACTTAATTAGCATTACACGATCATTATGAAGATGAGATCCTCTAGGACTCTATATTGGTTCAATCTGCGATAAATTCAAACTTGGCCTCCAAATCTTCCCCCATCGACAACCCACTCCTCCACCTCCTGGTACGCCCTGTTCAAGTCATCGTTGACGATAATTCTATCGTGCACACCTTTCTCCTTTGCAAATGCCATTTCCTTGTCCGCCTGCTCTAATCTCTTCTTCACACTTTCCTCGTCATCCGTTCCTCTGCCCCTTAATCTCTCCTCTAGTATCTTCAGCGAGGGCGGCGATAGAAACAAGAAGCGTGCTCCTAAATCCGTCTTCTTTACTTGTTTGACACCCTGAAAGAATCGAAAGGATTCATTTAGCCGCTCCGTGGTTATCATCAAAAGCGAGGAGCCATGCGTTGACAGAGCACACACCTCCATCTCAATGTCCAAAACACATATCCGCCCCTTCTCAGCCACATCCTTGACGGCTTCCACGCTCGTCCCGTAGTAATTCCCTCCAAACTTAGCGTGTTCTATGAAACTACCGTCCCTGACCAAAGCCAGGAATGCTTCTTGGTTAGTGAAATTGTATTCACGGCCATCCTGTTCGCCGGGGCGGGGTGAGCGGGTGGTGTCTAGGTACAACGTGAGCAGAAGAATCGGAGTAGAGACGCGTAAAGGTTGTCCTACGGGAGACAGAGAATCCAAAAGTGTCCGGGTGATCTGCAAAGAGACGCTTGAGTATCGTCGATTTACCGGAACCCGAGGGACCAGATATAACGATTGGGCGGTGGATTTGGGTTGCTATCAAGTCGAATGTTTAGTCACTCGCTAGGATTTCAATCGGAAATAGAATCGTACCTAGGGCAGCCATTGAGGTGTAGTGGAGCGAACAAGAAGAGATTGTAAGGAGTGAAAATCGTGTGCACAGCGATGCCGAGCAAGATGGTGCAGGTTTACACAGAAACATAGCTCACAAGTCACAACTCACGAATGACCAATCGTGCCAATTGGGTTTTCCAGGGTCCTGCACTAAACAGCGGCAGCGGCCCGGTAATTTGGTACAATATAACGAAGCGACCGTATCGTATCTCCTAGCTTCTCTTACAACAAAAAGTCCGTCACCCCGACATTTTGAAGCGTTGCAGAAGTCAGCACAATTTTGCTGGTGCTTCCACCAACGTTGCGCCCTGAAGCGACCAGCATCCAGCTACCTGGATCGAGTGTATCGTCAACCATGATTATAGATAGCAGCTATGGAGCCTATTAAGTAAATGCAATGAATGTGAAAATTAAGGAGGCTTGGAGCCACCAGAGCTGCTAGGCGACCTGGGAGACTTGACTCCTTCTTGTGCCTCCTGCTCCAAAAAGTCGGACCAAAGTTCTGCAAGAGATTCCTTCCTTGTGCCGCCTTCGGGAAAGAAGTCGGTAGATAAGGCTGGTGTACTAGGCGTCCTATGCCACGGCGATAATGGCACGCGGAGATTTGGGTTCGACGCACCCGGTCGCGCAAGACCAGCTTGTTCTCGTTGTTCTGTAATTGTCAGTGACTAGAGTGGGGTTTTGGAGCGAAAAAGTCCGCCTTACCATCTGTCCAGGCTAGTAGACTTGCAATTATTTGCAATACTTGGAATTTCTTGGGATCGGCTCTTTCCAGAGCCAAGAAATGCAGGACGTGGTTGGTGACGAGTTGTCTGGAAAGATCAGTAAATGCAAACAGCGGATGTGATGTAGGGCTCACTTGTCAATGGTGTCTTCGGGTTTGCCCTTTTTGAGGTACCTCAACGCCTTTGTCAAATGATCATTCAAAATCACTGCCTCATGCCGAAGTTTTCCAATAAGAAGGCTCTTCTCCTTCACCTCTTTCTCGAAAGGCAAAGCTCTCTCAAGCTCCTGCTTCGCTGACTCGAGCGAAGTAGTAGCGTCAGCTGCTCTTCCTTCAACTTCATGAAGTTGTTTCTGTAATTTTTCGACCTGTGCTTGCGAGTTTTCTACAAGCTCTCGTAGTTCACGTCTCCGAGCTGGAAAAATTGTTAGAAAATGTAGTCTCTCGACTTAAATGGGACTTACCATCTTGGATTTCCTGAAGTGCCCTCTGAAGCCCGTCGACGGTCAACGACTGACTATCTCGGTCCGAGGCTGCTCGTTCATGGGCTTCACGATGGCTCGCCACTTGCTCTTCCAGATCTGCGACCCGCTCTGCGATACTCTCCCGAATGGTTCGTTCTTCCATTGCAAGGACCTCCCAATCTTCCATAGCTTGCTTCGCGGCTTCAAACTCTTCTTTGGCATGGGCTTCTCGCTGTATTAAGTCGTCTCTCTCTTTAGACCAGTTTTGCTGCGAAAGAGTGGTTCTGTTCCGAAGACTCGATAACTCTTTTGATCTCTGCTCTCCCTCTTCTACAATCGTTGCCAGTTCTGCAGCACGTGCCTCGTTTTGTTCACGTAGATTGCCGCATTGCTCCTCAAGGTCTTCCATTCGACTCCGTGCCTGCGACAAGTCTTCCTATACTACCATCAGCGACGTAATGGTAGAAGGCAAATGTACACCTACAGCATCTGCCTTTAACCGTTCACCCAGTTGTGATCTTATCGTGTTGACTTTTCCAAGCAAATTTCGATACTGTGTCTCAGCTTGTTCTTTCTCACCCTGTGTGTCCGCAAGCTGCTTCCGGATACTGCCAAGCTCCTCTTCGTGCTTTCCTTGTATCTCTTCGAGAGATCTCCGAACGTGCGCTACCTCTTCCCGAAGAGCAGCCCGCTCACTTACTAACGCTTCCAATCTCGCATCTGTATCAGTCGTCGTAGGTGCCGTACTTTTGTCACCAAGTACAACGTCTTTAGAAGTCGGTGACTCTTCCTCGGCAACAGATTGCTCTTGGGAATCCACCTCGACGGACCTATCGGGGACATCATTGGTTCTTCTCGGTGTACCATTGGTCATTGGGTGTCCCAGGTCGATCTCGGCCCTTTGAGGCGAGCTCGGTGGCTCTGAAGGTGTCTTAGATTCCTGCTCTTCTCCATCCCCGTCATCGTTTTCGTGTTCATCATTTGCTTTAGCGCCATTGACCTTTCCCAGATCCCCGTTCAGCTTCGCTTTGCTACCCTTCTTTTTCTTGTGCTTCCTGCCTTTCGAAACTGGTACTGGTTAGCTCAAGGCAAATGTAATGGCAGGCTGCTACGGTCAAGACATGATGTTTCTCATGGCAACATACCTTGAGTGGCTGTATTTGGAAGATCTGAAGTCGCAACGGATGACATTCTGTAGTGTATTCTCGAAAATATTTCGAGGTGGAGCTTAGGTATTGTCGTCGTAATACCGAATGGACAGCAAATCAGCGCCCACTTTTAGATCCCACGTTACCAATGTAAGTTTCATTAAGCGCGAAGCGGAGCTGACTTTACTTTAAAGTTTAAAGTACTCTAATACGCGGCATATCGAGGAGCCGCCGACGATCGCAAGTAATCTGAAAGAGCAGTGAATTGATACGAATAAGACCCCTCCTACAATATCCACATACAAGCATTGTCACGATGGAGGCTCCAGGAAGAATTCTTCCCATCAAGGGAAAGACGAATGTCTTAATTACAAGTGCCCTTCCTTATGTTAATAATGGTATGTGCATTTCGACTTGGTTTATTGCTGAATAGGATGTTTTCAGTGCAAGGACCATTGTCCGCCTGATAACCTATTCTATATCATTATCCCATGACTTGAGTCTTATCTTGCAAAGCAAACGCTGACCCCAGAAAATTTGTCCAGTCCCCCATCTTGGGAACATCGTTGGGAGCGTTCTGAGCGCAGACGTCTTTTCTAGGTGTGCGCATTTCTCTAAGGTTCTGTACGCTCTCATTGATCCTGCATAGGTACAACAAAGCAAGGGGTCGACCAACCTTATTTGTTTGCGGCACCGATGAGTACGGAACAGCTACGGAAACCAAGGCATTGGAAGAAAATGTTTCTCCCAGAGAACTCTGCGACAAGTACAACCAAATCCATGCGGAGATATATGAATGGTTTGAGATCGGATTCGATATCTTCGGAAGAACTTCCACCCAACAACAGCAGGACATAACGCAGAGTATATTTCGAAAACTATACGAAAATGACTACCTGATCGAGCGGACTTCGCAGCAGCCATACTGCGAAAAGCACAAATCATTCCTTGCTGATCGATATATTGAGGGTACTTGTCCGAAATGTGGCTACGAAGACGCACGGGGGGATCAATGCGACAAGTGTGGCTCGGTAGACTACGGGCCATTGGACCTCAAAAACGCCCGATGCAAGATTGACCCAGATGCGACGCCAGTCGTACGGGAGACAAGACACATTCACATCAGACTCGACAAGCTTCAGCCAGATATACAGAAGTGGTTCAAAAAGGCCAGTGAAGACGGTGCTTGGTCCAGTAACGGGAAAGTCATCACAGAATCTTGGCTAAAGCAAGGGCTGCGGGATCGAGGCATCACCAGAGACTTGAAATGGGGAACACCAATACCACTTGATGTTTTCGCAGACGAGAAGGATAGAGAGATCTACAAAGACAAGGTGTTCTATGTCTGGTTCGATGCCTGCATTGGCTACGTGTCGATAACTGCAAATTATACCAAAGATTGGGAGAAGTGGTGGCGCAATCCAGACGTGAAGCTTTACCAATTTATGGGAAAGGATAATGTGCCTTTTCACTCGGTCATTTTCCCCGGCAGTCAATTAGGCACCAAAGAACCGTGGACTATGCTACATCATCTGTCAACGACAGAATACCTGAACTACGAAAATGGCAAGTTTTCCAAGTCGCGAGGAGTTGGTGTCTTTGGCAACAATGCGAAAGACACAGGAGTCCCCGCCGACGTGTGGCGGTACTATCTTTTGAAGCACAGACCAGGTATGTGATTTGAGTGTCATTCTGGTTACACAGGACCATTTGAGCACTAAGGCAGCGTTTGCGGGCGGATTCCGGTGTTACTACAGGCGTTGTGGTACAATTCAGTTCGGATGAGACATGCTGACCCTGGTTTGTTTCCCCAAAGAAACTGCCGACAGCCAATTCGAATGGAGGGATTTCGTTGCGCAGAATAACAATGAATTGCTTGCAAAGCTTGGAAATTTCGTCAACCGCATATTGAAGCTTGTCAACAGCAAGATCTACGATTCTATCATACCAGATTATACGGCCAAGTATTCGGATCCTGTATTCGAGCAGGCCAGGGCCGAGATCAATCAGCATTTGAAGCAGTATCTGAAGGACCTTGAGGCGGTCAATCTAAAGGATGGTCTTCAAAGCGCGATGGACATTGCACAGGCAGGGAACAATCTCGTAAGTGGAATGTTACACGCCAACAACCAGAGACGTGTCTGATAGTAAACCTGAAGATCCAAAGCAACAAACTCGACAATAAGCTCGCTGCAAATGAGCCCGAAAAAGCTGCAGCGGTAATAGGTCTCGCCATAAACATCATCTATCTCTGCGCCGGCATTTTCGAACCATACCTTCCGGCGACTTCCAAATCTATCCTTGAACAACTGGACGCACCTTTTCTCTTCATCCCTGATCACTGGGCGGCTGACGATATAAAGCCAGGTCATCACATTGGCAAGGCAAAGCATCTTTTCATACTGATTGACCCGAAGAAAGAGGACGAATGGCGGGACATGTACGGAGGGACCCAAGCAGAGAGATCAAAGAAGGAAGAGGAGACAGCGAAAAAGGCAGCAGCTAAAGCAGCTGTGAAAGCCAAAAAGGCAGAGAAAAAGACAAAGAAACCGGAACACCAGGTTGAAAAGGTGCATGCGCAGCCAAGTGTGGAGGAAACGGCAACAGGGGGAGCGGAGGCTACAGAAGTCGGCAAGGAGCCAGTGGATGCTGTTACAGATGGATTTCAACAAGTTACGCTGCCTTCGTCATGATGAAATGGAAGACAACTTGGAAAGCATGCCCGGTCGCTGAGGGGTTGCCTTTTCCTCGACTCCTCCTCGGTCAGCGAGTGCTGCATGATTTATTAGAGTATGATTGAGGACTTTATCGCCAAAAGGGTATGGTCGAGGCAGGAAAATTGTCTGATAAGGTAATTCACCGTAGCTGTTGGATTCAACAAAAGCGGGGCTCGCAGATAATTAGCTTCCGACTGTTGATAAGTACAGCACCTACGTAAGGTATGCATGGCATGGCATGGCATACTGCGACGAATTGCATTTAACATGACACGTACCCTCTTGCACTGCTCCTAACTGAGTCCAATCAAATTCCGCCTGTGAAATTCTTCGGTTACCAACACTACGAACCCTTCGTCTACAATGTCTCGAATTACTGCCATTCACAAAGTCGGCGCATTTCGGCGCCTTGTCACGCTGAACACCCCGCGAGCTTATGACTCCTACTATCCTGGAAAGCATAGGTAGACTCTGCCAATCCAGCCCCACCAAAACAGCTGCTGAGTCCTCTTCTCTTACCTAAAGGTGTTCAAAGTCCATCCGGCCTTTTCACTGCAGCAGTCAAAGGAGGACGCTTGGGGACACCTCAAGCATTGACTTTGCTTACTTCCCTCAATACGAGCTCCGTGAGCCCGCAAAGAATGAGATAATGCGTATTCCCATCCTTCCCTTCAATTCTTCACCGCCTGCAAGAAGCAACGAAGCTCTTGAGTCGGTGATCCGACCGGAGATCACAACGGCAAGTGCGAATGGAACACATATCGAGTCTCCCTCCGCAATGTCAGACGTGACAGACAATCCAGGACACACAGATCTCGATCCTTTTGACTTGACGAACACGGTCACCACGGCGGCGTCTGAAGTGACGGGTTTGCCCATCGAAAGACTGCAGGAGCCGGGGGTCGTAAAGGAACTTTGGAATGGACTGCTGGATGATATTTTAGGGGCGAGGAAGACTGCGAAGGCGTGAGTCAGGAATGAAAGCCAGGGCAGTGTGGGAATGTCTTTTTATTTTATTTTTTCCTTGTTGAAGCGATTCTCGATTTATGTCATTTTTCTCGGTGGAAGCTGGACGGCTACGATACAACCAAAAAGATTGCTGCATGCTATCAGGCTTGGATCTCAGCGCGGTAACAACGGATGTTCGCTTCGACTGTGATGAAGAGCAGGCTGTGGAAAAGAATGTTTCGTGGTCTGGACCATTGATGAATCATATAGCTTAAGCTGAATGCAGTCATTAAGTTCCTAGAGAAGTCTCTGTTGCTATCATGATACAAGGAATGGAAAACCCCGAGGCAGAGGGAATAGGCGCAACCTTTGAAAGTTGATGACTAGTGGTATTCAGCCCTATAGTACTGCCTATTGATGAGACGACATTTCCACATCAAAACTGTATTTTCATTTTTTTGCTCATGTAATTATGTTGTGGACCTCTTCCATGATGTTGCTGCGATAACACAATGCCCAAAGATCGCCTTTATGACCTACGGGATATAGAAGTCAGCCGAGAGCCAGAGCAATCTCGCTCATTGCTCGCCCAAGGCGCCGTTGACGACGATGAAGTTGGACCTTCGCCAGCACATCAACCGCCTCCATTTCCCCAATCTTCTCTCTCCAGGACCGCTTCAAATGGGTTCCCTCGCGCTCCGCGCACCATAAATCGAGTCCGCTTCGACGTTAGAGAGACGGACAGCGGCGAGCATGCGCTCAACGGCCATGTGCGTACACCGAGCCGGGAAAACGGCGATTGGCCCGAGGCTGAGCATGACTTGTTCGGAAACGATGTTGAGAGTAGGGAAAGTTGCGCAGGGCAAAGGGCGCCTCTTCTCACTGATGTCGAGGCACCTAGTGTCATGGTGGCCGAAGATTTGGATTTCAACGCTGAGGGACTGCTGGAAAATGCCAGGCCGAAGAGTGGTATAATGTAGGGCAGTTCTGCAGCGCAACCTTGCGGGCCGGGCTCGGGTGCTGAAATGTTTGCAGAAGTGCATTCATGAATATGGCGAATTCAATAATTGGGGCTGGCATAATAGGCAATTCTCACTGCTAGTTACATTGCTTTCGCGGTCCCAAACTTATACTATAGCTCTAGGTCAGCCGTATGCTTTTCGGCAAGCCGGTTTGTAAATCTTACTGTTCGAATTCGGCCTTGAAATTTTGTGTCCTTACCTATATATCGCTAGATCAGCGGGAATCGTCCTCCTGGTTATTTTAACAATCACAGTGAGCCCCCTGGCGACTTTTGTGGACCATGGGACACTGATCGTCGTCTAGGTAGACTGGACCATACGGCAAGACTCTCCCTCGCTCTCGATCTCCTCCCTTTCTGGTGTTACCATATCAATTTTCCAAACCTAAGAGCGAGAGTTGATGTGCTTTGCAGCTTGATCGTGATCAATTCGAAATTCAGTGGTGCCAGTTCTTTCCAAGGGTATGTGAAGACGCATGCGTTGATGGCAACTTACAAAATGTTTACATTCGACAGAACTGTGGAACACTGCTTTGGCGCCTCCGGACTCATTGCGATCTCCATCGCCCAATTCGCCTTGTATGCAAAATCGAGCCTCGACCAAGGCCAATGCTAACTATGCTCCCTTCAGTGCTTTTGGAGGCATGGTCGCCTTCTGTGTCATCATGGGAGATACGATCCCCAGCGTGATTGCGGCACTTCTCCCGTCTTTATCGGACATGCCTTTCCTCTGGCTTTTAACCAACAGACGAGCTGTGATCATTTTGTGCACTCTCTGTTTCAGCTATCCTCTGTCTCTATATCGCGACATTGCAAAAGTATAGAAAATACCACCTTTTCCTGTAGCTTGGCATTCGTTAACCAAATTTCAGTTAGCAAGAGCGTCGACGTTAGCACTTTTAAGCATGGCGGTAATGGAACCATTCTTTGAGGCATATCAACTGTTTACTAATGTGAGATGTAGGTTATCCTGATTACAGTCGTGACGCAGGGCGTTGGGGTACCACAGGATCTCAAGGGTAACTTGAAGGGCTCGCTGTTTGTGGGGAATGGTGTCCTTCAAGCAATCTCGGTGATATCGTTCGGTAGGTCTCTTCGTTCTGAAACGCCAAATTCCAGAGACAGACTAACGATCATAGCATTTGTCTGTCGTAGGGGTCACGGCTTCCTTGCACTTCTGCTCCACTAACGAGCTGTCAGATCACAACTCTCTCCTGATATACGGTTCTCTAAAGAAGCCGACGATGGATAGATTCGCTCGCGTTACCCACTACTCTACATTCACGTCGATGTTAGCTTGTTTGACCATGGCTTTGGCTGGCTTTGTCACCTTTGGAGAGAAGACACAGGGCAACATCTTGAATAATTTTCCCAACGAGAATCTCATGGTTAACATTGCACGCTTGTAAGTCAATCTACTGGGACTGTAGACGGTGTCCTGCTGACGTAAGGGTAGTCTCCTGGGAGCCAACATGGTGACGACTTTACCGCTTGGTCCGTTCGTGCTAGCTCTGGATGAGAGGCCTAGCTGACGACGTCTCAGAGTGCTTCGTGTGCCGTGAGGTTATGATTGTTCGTACGGTCCATTTCCGGAGGTTGTCGTCACAGCTGACAGTCTAGAATTACTGGTTCCCCAATGAACCGCACAATCCTAATCTTCACCTAATTCTCACTACATCTCTTGGTAAGTCGTTTCCCAAGGCTTCTGAGGATCGGCCGCAAAGAGTAGACGAGATCGTTAAGGCTAACACAATGTTCCTAGTTGTAGCGGCAATGACCTTGTCTTTGATCACTTGTGATCTTGGCGCTGTATTCGAGCTTATTGGGGCAACGAGCGCCTGCGCTGTAAGCATTCGGCATACTGCAAAGAGAAAGCTGCTGAAAAACTCTCTTCAAGCTCGCTTATATTCTTCCACCCCTGTGTTATATCAAATTAAGCACCCGTAGCTGGAAAACCATTCCTGCGATCCTCTGCGTTGTCTTCGGAGTAGGAAACCCTCATGCATTCTTATCATCTTAGAAGAATAGATCGCTGTGACTGACTGGCAAGTAGATGATAGTGATGACCATCAGCCTGATACAGGCTGTCGTAAAGATGATTAGAAATGAAGGTGGCGCTCACTCCTGTCGATAAACTATAGGAATTGTCATGCGGGATCTGTCTCCCAGGAATAGTCTTAGAGCTTCAAAGGAGCTACGAGGGCCAATTTCATCCGCCTGCAATGCATGAAGACGGTACTTAGCCATTTCACAGAAAGATTGCTGTGATCATTGCCCCTTGCCTTGGAATCCGGAAGGTCCGTGTCCTCTTTCATTGTGACCAACAGCATGTTTGCCGTCTCGTGGGACAACTACCAACGATACTGCTCCTTTGGCGTGGTATTTGAGAGGTTCAGGTACCTTCAAGCAAGGACCTTTCGCCGGCGGTTAGCAGGCAGACCCTCAGGAAATTGGCAGTCTGAGGCGCCAAATCTTTTCTTTTCACATCATTTTCAGCATCAAACCGAAAAACCCGTCAATCATGAGTAGTATCGATAGCGTTAGGAAAAGCATGCGGGATGAAAATTCTCGTTCGTGCTGCTCTTCCCAACAACTCAGCGACCTGTACCGCTTCCACTGTCACCTTTTCTAGCTCTGTGCCTTTTAGCTATGTCGTTGAAGCCTAAGCTGGACGCACGCTGTCTTTGAAAGGTCGGAATAATAGCATACAAACCCTGTAGATCTTTCTTAGGCTGCTTCGACATACGGAGTGTCGACCGTTGGAGATCAGAAATAATCTGCGACTGGACAGCAACAACTGCCACTTTTTGGCACGTTCCATGGCGAGCCTCTAGGAAAGGTGGCAGTCGAAGAGGTACAAACTCCTGAAGTATCCTCAATTTGAAGCAGCTCCGGTCATAAATGACAAATGTTCTCGGGGTGAGAGCCCAAGTTCGGCGGTAATTAGGAAAGCTCAGCGGCCTCGACTGAAGTCCCTTTCTGCCAATTTGCCTGGCTGACTTCTGGAACAGGGAAAGCACCTAACTGCCCGACAATTGGTGTACACGAACCCTCGACACTCTGGCCTTCCCTTCTCACTGACCCCGAACTTCCCACATTTCATGTGCTCATGTCTATAGACCGTACACTGTGATGCCTGCCCGTCTACTCTTCTTCAAGGACATTGAATACCGGATTTCTGACAGAAGAAAAGCACAAAAGTAAAATGCCTAATCACTATTTCCCAAAAAAATTAGACTTGGACTTTCTGACGAGATTAAAGGACACAAGGGAAGCACAAAGGTGAAGCGCCCAGTTCCCCGCGAAAATTGGTGTGAATGAAACTTCACCATTCTGCCTTCTCCCAGTCACTTCCAAAGTCCTAAGCACATCTTCGATATTCAGTCTCACAATACAAAATTGTGACGCCTGCCTTTCTACTGCCCATCTGTTGCCCATCTACTGCCCGGCCCTATTTTAGGTCCATCGGGCACTCAACTTTCTGGAGAAAAGAAAGTGCAAAAAAGGAGCGCCTAGTAGTAGTCGGCGGGATTTGGTGTGAATTTTGCTTTAACCTTCTGTCCTGGTATTTTCCTCCAAACATGCCTTATATTCATCCATTATATACTACTCGATCTTCTTCCTAATTCTTTAAATCTCATATCTCTCGAGGAGAAGGGAGCATAGAAGTGAAGCGCCTAGTTATCCGCGGAGTTTGCTGTTAATCTAGCTTCGATCTTCTGTCCTGGTATCGTCCCCCAAACTTCCCTTTTATCTATCCACTATCTGCTACCCGGCCATCTTCCTAATTCTTCAAATCTCGCATCTCTCAAGGAGATAGGAGCCTAGAAGTGAAGCGCCTACTTGTCCGCGGGATTTGATATGAGTTTGACTTCGACTTCTTGTCCTGTCCTTCACACCAAACTTTCTAGAAAAAGGGAGCATAGAAGTGAAGCGCTCACTTGTCCATGGAATTTGCTGTGAATTCAGCTTCGACTTCCTATTCTATTCTATCCCTCACATCAAACTTCCTAGCATAACGGAGAGCACAGAAGTGAAGCGCCCGCTTATCCGTGGAATTTGCTGTGAATTCAGCTTCGACTTCCTATTCTATTCTATCCCTCACATCAAACTTCCTAGCATAACGGAGAGCACAGAAGTGAAGCGCCCGCTTATCCGTGGAATTTGCTGTGAATTTAGCTTCGACTTCCTGTTCTATCCTGTCCTACTTATCCTTCACATCAAACTTTCTAGCATAAAAGGGAGCACAAAAGTGAAGCGCCCGCTTGTCCGTGGAATTTGCTGTGAATTTAGCTTCGACTTCCTGTCCTATCCTGTCCTACTTATCCTTCACATCAGACTTCCTAGCACAAAAGGGAGCACAGAAGTGAAGCGCCCGCTTGTCCGTGGGATTTGCTATGAATTTAGCTTCGACTTCCTATCCTGTCCTTAACTCCAAACTTCCCTTCTATTCGTCTATCTTCATGATGCATAGTGCCAACAAGTGTATGTCTGCTCTCCGGCTCCTATTCTAGGCTGATTAGGCCCTAACTTTCCAATCACGATTGACAAGCGCTATATCCTCCGCGGAATTGGGTGTGAGCTTAGCTCTCACTGCCCTTTTCCATAAAGTGAAGTCTTGCAACTTGCCCAAAGCGCGCTAAGAATAAGCGGTAAGCAAAATCTTCCTTCTCTACCTCAGTTTGGAAGATTAGCAACCACATCATCAACCCCATTCCCTCCATACCATCCATACCATCCATTGCTTGGGCTAACCCCCCCCCTCGTCTGTACAAGACGACGGTAGTACACCACAACCATTCCTAAAACTCGCACACGATGCCAAATCTCGTCGGGTTCCGAGATGGTTCTCCACCTCTCGTGGAGGACCAAGCAAAGCAAACCACCCTAGTTGCTATGCAAATGGAAGCGTTGGGATCGCGACGCCGAGACTTTCTCTCGACGACAGACTTCAAGGAAAACAAAGCTAGCTATGTCCCTACGGTGCACCTTGAATCACAGCGACTCGTGAACAAGAGAAGCATCGGGCAAGGAGAGAAGTCCAAGTTAGAAGGCTGGAATAGTAAGACTGTATACGCTGAACACCTTGTCGCGTGCTAATCATGAGCCAAGATGCTTGGACGCGTTTACAAGACGATGGCACTGATACACAGAATCTACGAGCTGTCAACGAAGGCTTGGGTCAAACTCACCGAGCCAGACTCATGAATGACGACAGCGTTCGAGACTATACGGGAGAAGAAAACTTTTGTGGAGGAGGTCGTAGCGGTAGGGGTGACCGTGGTGATCGCGGTGGCAGAGGTGGCGGCAATGCTGGACGAACTACAGGTCGGGGGGGCCGAGGGAAGGCCAAAGGGTAATCACCTCGATCGATAGTCAGATGGTCGAATCTGGTCTTGCTGACTGGGGACACAGAGAACGCAGGGTCACATTTCAAGATGGGTCATTGGTTCAGCCTATCACTCGCGTCCGCGTTCCGAAAGGGCAACCTAGTGCTCAAATCGACGTACCTCGCCACCCACCACACCCCATACTAAAGACAGTCTCAGCTGTGACATCAGCGAAAGGAAACACTACCACACCAAGCACACCTGCTACGCTCACCCGACCACCGGTGTAAGTGCTTGATCTTCACCAAGTTGTATGCTATCACTAACCAAAACTAATAGTCATTATGACGGAATGCTTGCTGCACCCAGTGCGTTCATGGCTTCTGTCGGAATACGCAAAGAACGAACTCGGGATGAACCAAACATCAAGGACGCTCCGTCCGCGACGGATACCTCAAAGGAGAAAGTAATTGGATACAAAAATGACACTTTGATCATAAAGATCACAGACACCTCAAGCGAGAAGGCGATCGCGCACAAGTCCAATGCTTCGGCCATTGATACACCGAGTCACAACACAACAACAGCAGCTGGCAAGACTATTAAAGGTTTGGACTCCCATCCCAAAGGTGATCTGATGGATCTCGACACCGGTCGAGAGACCACGCAGCCAGTGCTTCAGTTCACAGCACCTAGCACCAAGGAGCCGCCTTCTCATCATGTTGACCAGGTAGTCTTAGCTTTCGATCAGCAGATAGAGGCTTTGGAGAAGATCGGTGTATTTAATGCCACTCAACTGGAACTCCTTAAATCGATTCAAACACAGGTGCACGCCCGCAAAAATGCCACTGCTCCAGTGAAAGAGGCTCCTCGTCCTGGAATTTACACCAAATCGGAGCTCGTATCCCTACGTCCGACAGCTTCAGTTCCCGAAGTCACAACTGGTATCGCGGCCAAATTCGCACAGCAACAGCACGCCTTTCTCATTGGCGAGCATGTACACAAGACTAGGTACCACACTGCCGCGTCTTTGACCGAGGATTTTGAGAGGCTCTCAGTCTCAGACAAGAGACCTGCCAAGCCAGCTGCAACGGACCTCTCGATCTCAGACAAGAAGCCGGCCAAGCCAGCTGCAACGGACCTCTCAACTCCTGAAAAGTCGAATATCAATCCCTTCGGTCCTCCACCAGTCAAGGGCAAAGGGCCCTCTCTTCCAGCTCATCTGTTGAACCAAACCACTACGGCGGACCATGGGGCGGCGGCGCGTGCCCAATATTCGGGTAGCAATGACATCTTAGCTCCGATCTCAGATCGACAGTCGCTGGTGGATGTTACCTCAACGACGCGTCCTACTCGTCGAAACATGATCAATCAGACTGGGTTTATCGCCCTTGCAGAGAACCGTGTCAACTTTGTTGCTGCAGGTAAGAAGGGAGAGGACCCGTTGCTCGTGGCACGCAAACGAGGTTTGTGAGACATGGATTCAAGGACTATCCTCGTTTACATCAACATTCCCACACTGTGATCGATCTGGGAAACGAGCTTGCAATTGTACTTAGCTACACTAGAGACAGATAGACATGCATGCAATGCTTTGACCAAAAGGATTTCCCTCAAGCAACCCTTGTCCACCTTTGCCATGCGAGTGTTCGTCGATTGCCTCTGTTACACCTTACGAATCCAATATCTCCACATTGCTATGAACAAGCTGTGCCTCTAACCCAATCTTCTGACGTTTGACGTCTCCACCTGCATCAGAAGCCACGTTTGTGACATCGCCCAATGCTGAACGCGGCCCGCTGTTCTCTACCGGTCTCTTCATCTGGGGTGGCTTGTACGAGCCTCGATTCTGCAACGGGCTTGGGGCTCCCATCGGCATACCAACCCGCCTCATCTTATCTGACTGTGGATTTACAAAGTTGGCACGAGGCACTGCTGGTTGTGGCGGTGCCCCAATAGCTTCCCTGCCGACAGGCTTGGATTTTGTGTGATCAACTCCCGCGGTCTTTCGAATACTCGGGCTCTCTAAATGGGGATTGAAGGCTGGAGCCTTTAATGGCAGACCGGGTCCATTCTGAAGAGATTCGGCGGCTCTCGCTGTGAAAAAGCCGACAGGTGGGTCGTGTTCTGATGTGCTCGATGAATCGAGACTCGGCATTTCATTTGGAAGGACCTTATCTTGGGCCCGTACGCTTTGGGGTAAGCGTGGCGCAGGTAGTTGCTGTCCCGATATTGATGGTTTGACTTGTGGTGGAGGAGCAGGAACATGTTGTGGCTTTGTTCCCTGGCCTGGGTTCTGCGGACCTTCAACCACATTCATTGGGAGTACCGGATTGTTTGATCCAAGATTAATAGGTGTTTGGGGAGCTGCAATATGATCGGACGTCATGGAATGATTGCGGGTGAGTGGCGACTTAAGTCTTTGCATGCCGTTGTAATCCGGTGCACGCGTGGATGAAACACTTGCTTTACCCGGAAGACTGTTCCTGCGTCGGAAATGGTCCGAAGAAACAGAGGGATCTAGCCTCACTTCATCCGGATGATCACCTTGAGAGACACTGAAGTCTGCTTCGTCGAAATCATCACCTGCGCCGCCAGTCAGCGCTTGCTATTAAAGGAGCTGGTCAATGTCTTACTGCCAAATTCGTCTTCAGGGTCTCCATTGAGAGCTGTAGAGTGATTTAGCAATGGCTCAAACGCAATATTGAGACAAGCCTGACCAACCTGTAGCTTGCGTGTCTTCTCTCTCTGTAGGCCATTCCCTCTTCAAAGTAGGAAGACTGGGCTGCCGGGAAAGAGCATCAGCTGCGGACTCCCTCCTGACCGGAGCGAAATCGGGATGCCTGTGCAGATTTTCGGGGTCCCATTTGGTCTTATAACTACGTTCAGTGAACGGTGGCAGCAACGGACTGGTCCACTTACTGGGGCGATCTTGAGTTTCGTAACCTTCGCTACGTAGTCTTTGTCATAGACACAGTTGCCAAGTAGGTTGCCAAAGTTGCGTAAGGCTCTCTTCAATCCATCAGTCGTCCCCTCCTTCTTTGCTTTCTCAAAAGCTGCGGCTTTGCCTTTACAATTTTCGATATGCCCGTACCCAATGTCCTGGTACAGTTCAGTATATGTGAATGCGATCGCTTTCGTTCGGGAGACTTTACCTCGTGGAATGTACCATCTCGAAGTGTCACTCTGACAACGACTGATAGACCAAGGCTGACTTTCCCAGTGCTCTGACTTTCGTCGACCTAGCCTACACTTAGATCCTCGTTGAAGTTGCACACCCGAATCTCGCTTACGAAGTCGATCTGCACATTCTGGATTCCACTCGACCATCCGTTGAAGCCAAAAACCTCATTTGCAAGATTGATGCATTTGTCTGCCGACAAGTAGTGGACCTTGCCTCCCCCAGCACCTGGTCTTGATGATATGTATTCCGGTCCCAACTGCTTCTCCAGACGACTCGATAACGTGGCGATATCTTGCGCAGTGTATTCACTGACATGAGGCTTCACCTCCTCATATGGGTTGACCGATGTAGCAGCAGGCTTGTGCTGTTCGCCTTGTCTGGCGCATGTCAGCGCATGTTTAGCTATTGATTGAGATAGATCACTGACCCTGGCATTCTGATTTCACGTAAGGCTTGAGCATAGCAATGATCATCTAAGGAAGAATTGGCCTAATGGTGTTTTGATGTCGAGCTGGGACGAGGTGGGTCGCGACTGCCAAGACTGGCGGCGCGTCGCCGAAAATGCCAAGTCACATGTCTGATCTGCCATGAAAAAAATGAAAACTTGCACAAGAGCAGGTAGGCAGGTAGGTAGGAGTGCTGCAAAAGTCGACAATACCAACGAAGATCATTGTCCACAGAATATATTTGGACTGCTTTCTATGCATCGATTATCGAATAACAATGGCCTGATGGCCATGAATATGTAAATCTTGAAAGAAAGCAGGAACCACTACTGGGTTTTCCTTCATGGCTCAACCCTAGTCGCCATAGGATGTCCCAGACGCCTTGCAATGATAGCCATAATCCCTATGCTCCACCCTTTCATATGCGTTTATCATGATTCGTGAGACCCGTTGACGAGACAACGAGACGTCACTTGACAATCAACGAAGCACTCGGTACCAATCCGAGCTCTTTCAAAGAGGCTCCGAAATCTACTGCGTCGAACACTTTCTTTGGAAAATTTTGAACGAAGCTTCCAACTTCAAGACCCGAGTCTTGCGTTACAGCTGAGGCGACTTCGAAGAGAGTGGTGTCGACAGGGAAGGCTTTTTGAATGTTGCCCGTCGGGAGCTGTAACCGTAGGCGTGTTTCGGTGTATGCTGATGCAGGCTTCGATGCTACAGGGCCGGAAGTTGTAGGGAAGGGGGCGGCGGCTTTCGGGGCTGCTGGTGGCGCTCGTCCCTCACGTTCCGCTTTTTCCTTCTCTGTCCTCAATCGTCGCTCTTCTTTGTCTGCTGCAATTTTCGCTTTGATTCTCTCCTTGGCGGCTATCTCATCTTGCTTCTCCTTGCGCTTCGCGGCAGCATCCTTGAGCTGCTCCTTCTTCTTCAGATCTTCCTTAATATCTTGTGTCTCTTTGGTGCTCTTCCGACGGATCTCCTATGACCCAGAGTCAGCTTGCTTAGGCATTGCAGGTTCCAGCAGGGTCTTACCTCATTCTTCTTCTTGTCCAATTGATCCTGCTCCGATGTGCCAGACCGTTTCTCGGCAAGTTTCCTTCTCAGCTCTTCAAGCTTTGCCTTTTTCTCCTCCTCGGTGAGAGGCGCGATTTCCTCGGTGGATTCGGAAAAGTCAACGTGGCCGGTCTTGGTAGCGTGGAATTCCGCTTGTGCATGGCTTCTAAGCTTTCTGCCACAATCACCGCACACGAGCGACTTGGCTTCCTCGCCCGGCTTCAAGTCTGCTGGCACTGTGTTGGGATCCGTCTCGGCCCTGGCGTCTGCTGCTTTGATTTCGTCGAGCGACTTCCCTTCCACCTCTTCGAGCCACCCCACTGCTGCTGTTACTGGTCGACATGTCAATGTCTTATCACGACGGGGGATCTCGTAGACCACTTCAGCTGCGAATGGTGACTTACAATCGCCTTTCTTCTGCATGGCCAGCTCAGCTCTTGGTTGGTCGAAGCCCATTTCAAGAAGAGTGTTAAGATCGGTAGATGCCATTTGTTTTGGTAACCGGCCTAAGGATGAAGGGAAGTTGTTGGAAAGCTTGGATTCAGCTGTAGGTAGTTAAAAGCAGTTCGAAGGACTGGTACAATAGGGACAGTGTCAAATAAAATGTGTTGTTGATTTCTCAAGCATGTTCGACATTTTGAAGCACCAGAAACCGCGAACGTCAGCCGAGAGCCGGCGCCTAGAGTAGTCCTTTGGCCAAGACAGGGTCCTCTCTCCAGTCTCTCCAGCCTCTTAACATCATATGTAGCCTACACTACTCCGTACTCAGTAGTATTCACCAAAGTGCTGAATTGTTATCAATCTCATAAAGTAGAGCTTGTTGGAGAGTGTCATATCAATCTCGATCCACGTCATCCAAGTACATCACCAAACTCTTGCATAGCGACCGACACAAAGATATAAATCCCCGAGTCGTTATCATGTCGGTCACGCTCGATCCCCCCGAGCTTGGTTTTCGCCGTACGTTCTCGGTATCGCAGATCTGCCCCTGTAGCTAATCAAATTGGTTCAGGTCCTTTCACACATGAAGTTACGCAGCTTCTACGCCTCAGCAATCCGAGCAAGGATCCGATAGCGTTCAAGGCAAGCTCTTCTATCGTGTCTGGCTTGTGCCACAGCGGCATGGACTGATTGGAACATATCGCAGGTTAAAACTACAGCTCCTAAACAGTAAGCATTGATACCGGACCGTGTTGGTAAGTTTACTGAGGAGCGGCCAGGTATTGTGTTCGGCCCAATTCAGGACGCATTGAAGTCGGCAGCGAGGTTGAGGTGCAAGGTAAGCGACATCAACGGAAAAGACCATAAGGAATTCGGCTTCTGAATAAATGCAGTTCTCCTCCAGGCGATGAGAGAAGATCCTCCACCTGATGCTAGATGCCGCGACAAATTCTTGGTCCAGTCTGTCGCAATCACGCCAGAGAGAGACTTGGGCAGTGTGACAGCCATTGTTAGTCAGGATCTTCTATACCGTGCAAGGACATTTGCTGAGAACCCAACAGTGGCAGAATGTGGAGAAGATTTCAAAGGGTTCCATTGAGGAGAGGAAGATTCGTGTAGTCTTCTTGCCCGCTGATGGCACGGCGTCTACCCCACAGCACAACAATGTCAATGGAATAGTAAGGAGTCGAACCCGTTCACACCCCTTTTCGCAAACACTGATTACACCTCAGCATCTCGGCAACGAAGCACCCCCAGCCTACGGTTCCCCAGCTCCTTCATATGGCTCTCCAGCTCCGGAAGCCGTCACCCCAGGCACCCGCTCTGCAAATGCTGCTGACTCGCATTCGTTCAACGACAGCAAGACCATGACCGAGTCTGCCAGCAATGCAGCAGCGTCAGCGCAATCTACTGTTGGCGCTGCGGCTTCCAGCGTGGCCAACGCAGTACCCATGTCTGGCGATGACGTGCGAGCGCAACTTGCTCAAGCGAAAGCTACTATTGCGAGGATGACACAACAGTCCGAAGAGCAAGGTCTAAGGCAGAGGAAGACGGATGCGGTAAACCAAGACTCTCGAGAGCGTATCGCGACCGGCACGACCGGTATGGGAGTTCAACAGCAACCAGCAGATGGCGTGCCTGTACAGATCGTTGCGGCTCTGTGCTTGTTGAGCTTCCTTTTAGCTTATTTCCTTTTCTAGTGGGTAAGAGTCTGAACAGCGATGGCGCAGATGTCCGATAGAGCGGTTTTGTTGGGGATTCCTGTCTGTGCGCTATGCGAGCCGAATGTGCGGAAGCTCAGAACCGGACTTGTTTTGTTCTGGAGTTCTTCATCAGATATTGCTACATGACGCGTCATGAAGAAGCGAAGGTCTTACAGATGGTGAGCCAGGACAGGATTGAGTGCGCGGCAAGTTCAGTCAAGGCAAGCAAAGGCAAAGGATGGTTTGGAAGGGATTAGTCGGCTTTGCTATCCAATACATCATGTCAACCTGTAACTCGAGAATGTAGCAATGGTCCCAGTCAGAAGTCCATGCTTGAAGCTAATAATGGTCATGATCATTTCATGTCGCTATTCCTGCATGCTGATCCAAAGCTTCGTAGGTCATTTGACCCCTGGGATTCCAGCTCCCTTCCGCTCATTAGATCCCAACTCGTCTTCTCTCCAGCCGCCAACCTTCCTGCCCCCTTCATTCCTCTTTACCCTGCACCACAAGCCCACCTCCTTGTCCCAAATGAAGTGCCAAATCACCCATGTCCAACTTTTGTGATGCGGCAGTCCCGCATAATAGTCCTTGGCCATCTCGTGCAATGCCGGCAAACGTGTCCAGGGTATCGCTGGGAAATCGTGGTGCTCGTTGTGCAAACCCACGTTGTAGGTAAGCATGTTCAATGGTCCGTAATACGAGAAGGTCTCTGGAACAGGCACGAGGTCGTTGGCTTCTTTTGCGCTTTTAGGTTGTGGGTCGAACACATAATGCTCGGCGATGAAATGGCCTGCACAAGGATGCAACGAGCCGGCCAAAAAAGAGCTCATGATCAAGTATGCCAAGGCTCGGCCACCTGCGTACCGCAAGAGAAGGTAATCGAAGGATAATTGAGCGACGATGTTGAAGAGGTGGATCCGGGTCAATGGTAAGTGGTAGACCATCATCGGACGTAATGCGTAGAAGAGAATTTGGAAGGTGCAAAAAAAGGCCTTCCCCAGAACGGAGTCAAGGAAGAAGGCCTCTAGGGATGTAGGTAGGTCGGTGTCCAGGCCATCGACGCCTAGGGATTTGTGGTGAGTTAGATGATAGGGCTATCATCCTGTCAGCTTTGCAATCGAGCGGCCTGACATTAATTGAGTTACTTACTCTGAAAGCCGCACTATAAGGGACTCCGATGGGAAGGTTCGCAAAGACAGCAAACAATCTGTTTGCCAAGGGGGCTTTGAAAGCCAGGTTATGAGAGATTTCATGGATGGCTAGGAAGAGGTTTTGATTTGCTGTTGCACCAATGACGTAGACTGCGAGGACATATTTCAGAGAAAGGACTGGGGTGTTACGCAGGTATACAGCACATGTGATTTGCAATGCGACGACGGCGAGCACGAAGTATTTAGTCAGAGGTTCTGGCCCGCAGAGCTTGATTACCTGTAAACTGAAGCATTAGCCGGGGTAGCAGCCAGGAACGCTCGAATTGAAATTGGTACTCCTGGATGTGCTTTAATGATTGCTTGTCTCCGTGTCCTATGTGGTTCCTCTGTATATGACCAAAAGAATCGGTCGCCATCATAGCTTGCTGCTGCTTGCTTGGGGAGGTCAAGCCGTGAGGAAGCCTGCACTGTGGTCGTCAATGTAGAAGGCATAATCTTAGGAAATATGGTTGACGCAGGTTCACTTGACTGTTAGCATGTCAAGACTACCTTTCTTACTTCGTGAACATTGGTCTGGTCTAGCCTACCTTCGGTAAGATAGGCTAAGGTAGTACAGGAAGATTTACAGACTAGTGCGTTTCGGCTTTCATCCAGAATACGGCTAAAGTAGATATGGTGATAATATGCTCACTTATCACGCCCATGTTCTATGATCAAGAGTCCTCGGTCAAAACGGGGATCCTCACTTTTAAGCTCGAAAACTGGATCGACGACCGAGACTTATAATTTGGTATGGTCTAAACGGCAATAAGGACCTTGTTGACTCGCAATCTAAGGCCGGAAACTGGTCTGACTTCAATGTTTCATATATACACAATGAAGCACATACAATGGGTTGCCTCAATGTGCCTACTCTTCTATAGCCGAATGCCTTTGCGCCTCTTTGTTTCCGTATATGTGGAATTGGATCTGATTCGAAATTCGCAGTCAGTACTGCCTATTGGAGGGGGTTCATCGAGGCTGAAAGCTTGCTTCGAAAGTACAGACTCTCAAGACGCAGTATCTGGTCCGAAAGAGGAAACACGGACTCCGAATATACGTACGAAGATTATGACGTCCTCTGCAATCGTTCCTGAAATAGGTCAGGTTGTGTCCCTTTGTTTGATGAGTGCACTCTACTTGCCCAAAGATCCAATGAGCCAAGGCATGTTCGTAAGGAGATACTCCTTTTCAAGCGAATGGAAAAGTATCTAACACCATAAGCATGAACCCAAAGGATAGTGGCTTCATCAAACATACGCCGCCACCATAACTAAAGGATCTAAGTCAGCAATCTTCGTTGATGGCGCTTCTTGAACAATGTCACGAGCAATAGAGCATTCCATGTCATGTCATGCCCGACGATACACATAATGCGAGACGTAGTGTTGAGAGACGACTATGACTTACGATAGATTGCCCAACAGAGATAAGACAAAGAAAAGGATCGAGAGTCCTGCAATGGTTATTAGCCAAGATGAGACTCTTGAAAAACATGCGAAGGATATGGCCACCTTCGCAGGATTTTTCGCGAGAATTCTTTATGATTTGTGGAATTCTCGCACTGCGCAGGATTAGCATTGCGGATAGACATTTTGGATAAAATGTTAGTGCTTGTAAGGAACTTACCCGAGGTACAGTAGCTATCCATATCAGCAGAGAACATGTGTAGAAGCCACGGAGAATAAGGACAATCGTACCGCTGATAGGTAGCCTAAGATCTGTGCAGGCACGCTGTCATGGGTGGTATTCTCGGGATCCTCTATGGTAGGTTTCCAAAACCCAGTTGTGAAAGCAACATAAAAACCCACGGTGCCAAGAGCACACACCGCGAACACACTCAGAGAATTCTTCAGCCAAGAACGGGCATGACCAGCGTCTTCTGGAATGACTGAAAGCGCTGCTGCCTCATCTCGTTTTTGAGACACAGAGGAGCGACGCCTCGAGCCTAGTAGACCGATATCACTCGGTCTCCGGCTAAGCAACGGCTGGTCTGGTCTGTCTTCTATGTCTACTCGGGTGGATTGAACGCCTTTCTTGCGAGAGTTAACGTAATCGTAGTATAAAATTTGGATGATCAAGACTGCGTCAGCAATACAGAAATATAGAGCCAAAGCCTATCAAACATGTCAGAGTCAGCGTTCTCCATTAGAATTCACGATGAATTAGAAGACAAATTTTGAAAGCGGTATCGAAGGGGAAATAAGATACCACTGCCGGAGCGTGTCTTGCGACTTAAGAAATCGTTGTCTTCGTTGAATGAAAATGAGACAGACAAAGTCATACGATTACAGTGGGCACTAGATGGGCTAGGGTTGCTCCGAGCAGATTTGCAAGATCACCGATGAACCTGAAATGATTTCGGAGTCAGCATATTGTAATGCAAATCGAGTCGTGGAACAGGTCTTAGGAGTGTTCTACTTCTGGGATAATTCTCGCCAAATTTGAATACAATACGAATCAGGAAGAGACTGCTTGGAAAAGATGACAAACCAAACAATTAAAAATGCCAGGGAAATAGCGTCTGCCGACTTGGACATGTAATTCTCAAGTAATTGTGGGACAAGTACAAAGAGCCAGCAGGCCAAGGATACCGATCCTGAGATCCCAGAAAGGATTTCATGGGTATCAAGCATTGTCCATAGAATACCCAGGCGTTGGCCTGATTACTACCTTCACGGCGCTTATGAAAAGGGAAAACTAGGTGGCAACCCTCCGGCAAAGCACGCGCACAGGGTTCTTGTTCAAGTATGTGTCGAGACAAGATGAGCAGCACAAAGAAATCAACAAATTAGAGATATCATGCAGGAGTATGCAGGTACCGCGTACGCAAAGAGAAAGTGTTTGAGCGCCTAGCGCCCACCTAGCGCCGCAGGGCTTAGTAAGTTTGTTCAATTCTATTCTTGTATTGCCTCAATCCTTTTTAACATCGGATGCTTTCTCACCGACGAGTCTTGTCTAAACTGTCTGTCATTATTGCTTCATGATTCAACACGTGCACTGTGTCTCTAGAATCAAGCACGTATTTCGCTCGTGCACCTTTTTCACTTTGAGTATTTCAATATGTTTTATCTAAGTGTATTCGCCCTCTTCATTCTCTCTATCAGCCTTTCTTTGGCATCAGATATCGAGAACCCTCTCCAGTATCGCCAGGATAATAATACGACGACAACAACGTTCTCTCCGGTGGCCTCTCCCAGCTCCTCATCCAGCTCTTCGTCTATATCAGTTCCTCAATCTGTGGGTCCCCAGACCACCGACTCGACAACGAGCACGTCCTCTGACGCTGCAACTACCACCTCGCTCCAAGGTGCGGCTAAGACAAATCCAACAACCTCAACTACTCAAACACAATCGAGGCTTTCGACAGAATTGACGTCCTTTACATCCAAAGATGGGTCTTCCTACACCACGTCCTCGAGCACAACTCCAACTGGCAGCGTGACACGCAAGATTGTGATTACAATTATCTCAACAAGCGGAAGCGTGACTTTAAGCATTACTTCTACATCTAATCAAGTAATAGCTGCGGCTTTGGCCTCAACCACATCCTCAGGAGCTCCTGGAATTGCCCAAAGCAACAGTGGATCGGGCAGCTCGGGCCTATCGTCGAGGAGTAAATCTGTGGTTGGCGGTGTTGTTGGCGGTGTCGGAGGCGCAATCTTGCTGGGAGGCCTGGCGATCGTTGTTTGGCGCGTTTGGGGCAAAAATCGACGGTCACACGGTGCTGATAACGATCTGATGGACCCACAGGCAGGGCAGGAGAAGAACAGCAGTGTCAGAGGTCACAGTCCCTTCGTAAGTCACGCTTGCAGCATAATTCACGTGGAGATGTCTGACCAATGGCTACAGCGATCTACTCTGGATCAATACCACAACCCCGGACCAGTCAATACGGCTTCCAACTTTTAGTGATCGAGAGTCAACCGATGTTATGAAGTCAGCATTTTAGCCACCAATGATCAGCGGCATTGTTGGGAGTCTGTAGCATATATTGGCGTCGGAAATCATTAACGAATTCCCTTTGTCGATATCATCAGCTACATTTATTAATTCCAGTCAAAATATCGGACCATACTTATTGCCTAAATGGCTAATTGGGACCCTTTTCCTGAGATCATTCGCTTTGCTCGAGTAATACCGTAGATGACGGCATTTACCTCCTCTTCTACGTATTTAATTTACCTGGTAGATGTTAAGATAATTTATATTTTGAGATATTTTATAGTTATTATTATAATTATATATAATTATTAAGTTATAGAATTTAAATTAGTAATTGAATATTTGATATGTAAATTTATGTGTATATTTAATTTAATTTAATTTATAAATATTTTTTATAGATTATTTTGTTTATTTTAATATTTATTTTAAGATTTATTTTGTTAAAAATAAATTATAAAGTAAATATTTAATTGTGATATAGTTATATTTTTTATTAAATAAAAAGTACGTATAAGAGCTACGGGACTGGACGATATTACACTAAATCGTTCCTTTCAGTTTGTCAAAACGATTTTACCTGTAAAAATGAAGAAATTGTATTATAAAGTAATATATAAGTAAATAATAAGGATTTTATTAATATAAATATTAAAAAAAGATAGGTACTCTTGGGTCAGAACACGCTAGCACACGCGTGGAACCCTTACGCGGTTTACTCTACTAGTACTACACGCAGTCTTCCTTCCTCAACTTCCTCTGATACTTAGAGCAAAACCTTGAGATAGCCCAAAATGTTTCAAATCTGTCCGCACTACAATCCGGAGTTCTTAATCCGAAAACCATCTCCTTTGGCGCCACTTAATCCTAATGCTTGCCCGCGCTTTTACCATCAGATGACGTCCGCAGGTGGGACAAGCAGTGACACGTCGGAGTACTCATACAAACGCGCTGCACAATATCCTCTACTGCAACGCAAACCTACCGAAGAACAAGATCGGAGGCGACAGGTCTTCTTGAAGAAAGTCCGTCAGGTCAGCGATGACAAGAAGTGGGGTTTCCGCAGCGAACAGGTGCGCGATCGTTGTGCTTGAGACATCTCCATGACGCATTTAGGCTGATACTGTAACAGATCTTGAGAAAGGACTTCCTTTCGAAGCAGCGAGAGTGGGAACTCAACCAAGAACGCTCGGCACCAGAGACCCCTCAAGCTCTCGATGACGACGAGCGGGAAGCGGAGTCGGATTCCACGGAGGGTAAAAGTGCTTACTGCGTTCATATGTATTTCAGCTAACACTCTGCCGCGCAGAAGTGAAGATGGTTGATCGAATTTTTTCACAGGAGAATCAAGCGTTCGAGGCGCTTATATTATCAATTCAAGACATCGCAGATCAGGAAGACCACCATCAACAGAAGACAATGTCCGATTACGGCAGTGACGAGGAAGAATACGATCAGTTATTCAAAGAGGTCATGTCGAGACAGGGATCGGCGGAGAGGAGCACTGACACAGTTGGAGTTGGCGTCCCAGAACAGCACCAGGAGATGGACATTTCTTTGGGGTAAGAGCAACCGAAGTCGTGTAATACGGCTTGACAAATATCTCAAAATTGCCCTCGGTGCAGGAGTTATGCTCAAGGCTGGGCCCAATTGTGGGCCAGGATGCCTGGCTAATTACATTTCCTGTGCCCCAGGGACCACAACTAATAGGTCATTGCTGAGCACACCCGGAGTCTATGTCACCTAAAGCATCTTGTGCAGCATTCATGTCGCCCACGAGATCAGCTGGGGGACTTCCAGCCGCTTGCATCTAATTCAGCTCGATTAGCTCCAGTCACATTGATGTACTGGGATAGGGCCTGTACCTGTTGCATTCGTTCCACAATGAATTCTCTATCCGCCTTATGGGAGTCAGAGTAACTTGTCTGTTCAAATCTCTCCACAATTTCTCCTACAAGTCTTTGCTGCACGTCATATCTTCGCAAATCGTCTGCACTTGTGCTGCTCCTATTGTCGGACATCCAGCGTGGGAATTTATTGTGTAACTCTTTCATCGGCTCGTACAGTATTTCCTTGTTTGTCAACTGCTCCATCATACCAAGAAGCATTTTGTTGAACCCTTCGTCATCTCCTACACCTTCTAGGCCGCCGTCTTGCATCTCCTTCAGCATTCGTGAGAGCATGTCATCGGAGTCCTCGGTCTTTGCAGCAGCTGTGGCTTGGTCTCCTGAAGCTTGCATTCGCTCCATGGTCTTTCGAATAGTCTCCTGGAAAGGTTCCTCTGTATTCGATAACGACACTTTCCCATTGATTTCGTCCTTTAATTCCGAAGGCGTGCCAGGATCTGCTGCAACACCCAATTCCCGCATCATGGCTTCAATCTCTGTCTTCATTTCCGGTGACTCATCTACATTGCCCATGAGTGCAGCCATTTGGTCTCGCAGTTGCTTGCTGAACTCATCCGCAGCTGCATCCGACTTATCTGACTCTTGAAGAGCTGGCACCGGCGCAGGCTCAAGTTTTCGTGAGACATCTTGGGGTTTACTGACGCTGGTATTTGAAAATTCATCGAGCATGTCTAGTACATTAATTAATGAGCGCCGGAATTACTGGGAAGAGCTCAAACCATGCCATCTAGATCGTCCAAATCATCCTCTTCTGGATCAGGCACATCATCATGTATTAAGGGTGCTTTGCCAGAAGTATCAGCAGCCTGCTTTGCGCTCATCTGGCGCTCCTCCTCTTCCATCGTAAACCCACCCCTTTCAACTCCTTGAGGTTTGGTAGTCCCGAAACATGTGTTGTGAATAAGTATCGTAGGAAAAGCGTGATTAAATGAATTTGAGTGAAGCGTGTCTCGGACTTGATCACAGCACTTGCAGTCAGTGGGGCCGTTGATCGACAGGCACTGCGGGGACGCCCAAAACCTGCCGACTGTTCTTCTTCCTACTCAAATTGCTCCTTACCTTTCGACTTCACACAGACACCCTGGGCAAGTCCTCTTGCGCCTACGGGTATCACTTTGTCTGATTGTTTCAGTCTCACTCCACTCAGCTCTTCACAGACTCCCCAATTCAACTAACACATCATCCACATCTCATACCTTACTACCGAGCACATGACCATCGACCTCCTAGCTCTTCGACGATCTTTGAACTACCCACATCGGCGAACACAATTACAGGTACAAAAATGTCCTTGTGTCAGAATCGCCTTCAGGAGGAGAGGCAAGCCTGGCGCATCCACATGACAGCTCAGACATAGGGTTAACGAGAAGCAGAAAGCAATGGCGTCGTGATCACCCATTCGGATTTTTCGCAAAGCCTGTTCGAACTACTCAAGGAGTTCTGGACTTGAAGAAGTGGGAATGCGGAGTGCCCGGCAAAGACAAGACGCTCTGGGAAGGTGGCCTTTTCAAACTAGATGTGCTTTTCCCGGATGGTGAGTTAGGGCGTGATTTGTCCCACGCATATGGCGCTGACCTAGTTTCTAGAGTATCCTACAAAGCCTCCAAAGTGTACGAATTCAAAACTGAGCCCTGGGGCAAAGCGAACTGACAAGGGTGCAGGCAAATTCGTTCCCCCGCTTTTCCACCCCAACGTCTATCCCTCTGGTACTGTTTGCCTGTCAATTTTGAACGAAGAAGAGGGGTGGAAGCCAGCCATCACCATCAAACAGATCCTCCTCGGCATCCAAGATCTGCTCAACGACCCAAACCCCGACTCGCCGGCGCAAGCCGATGCCTACAACTTGTTCAAGAGAGATCGCCAGGCTTACGAGAAGAAGGTCAAAGCCATTGTGAAAGATAATCCAGCACCATGAGAGGGCACTTGCGGCCTCATGGCAAACACAACGGATGATTAGAGGGCGATATCTGGATTACTTTGGCGCAGGGAGGAGATGACTGCATCAAAGGCGCATTATACATGCCCATGGCATGCAAAGGCGAGCTTTTGGCGCCATTACTCTATTATCTAGAGCCGTGCTGAGAGCGGGTCTTTTCCTGCAAGCATGCAAACCTGTGTATCTGAAATGGGTTCTTAAGGACCCATCAATTCGATGGCATTTATTTTCGACCCAAACGATCTTCTCATGTTCCTGGTGCTCCAGCCGAGCCAGCGTCATTTGAAGTATCTAAGGTTTAGATGCTTTCTTATCGGCCTTATCTCCGCTAGTGAGATTATGCATGCAAAGTAATGTAATTTGATTTTGAAGCGCACGCATTTTCTTCGGGAAATCGCAACAATTCATCCCTATTGTTCTTTTTCGTGAGCTCCTCATCTTCTCTCGACACTTTTACTTTACTCGTCATTTCTTGAAGCTCTTGAAGCTCTTGAAGAAGATGTGTGGGATTTTTGCCTGTCACTGGTAAGTGTTGTAACCCCAATCGGCACGTGTCTGCTTGCAATTCCTAGATTCGCTTCGTGGGCTTGCTGACTTTGTGGGCTTGTAAGCCATCCTGATGTGCAAAAGTTCAAGCCCACCGCTCTGCGGATGGCCAAAGCGTAAAAAATTGAAATTCCAATATCTTGAGGAAATTCTAACCAAACCCACAACAGCGCTCGCCATCGTGGTCCCGATTGGAGTCAGCAAGTCGAATAGACTCACAAAAGACGAAAGGGCTGATTGTGGTTAGGTGGTAACTTCATTGCGAATAACACAAGTCAGACGCCCGTAACTGGCTATTCAATGCGACGAAGCTAAATTGTGGTAGTCTTGGCCCACGAAAGACTGAGTATTGTTGGCGTTGGTGAGAAGAATTGCCAATGAAGTCTTTGACCGTTCCTGCTAAGCGTACGCAGATACTGGAGCCCAGCCTCTAGTCAGTGATGATGGCTCATTATCTCTGGCTGTCAATGGTGAGATCTACAACCATAGGGTCTTGCGCAAGCAGCTGAAGCGCCCCTACAACTTTAAGACCCACTCGGACTGCGAAGTCATCATACCGTTGGTATGAACTGGACATCACTCGCTCCGAGAAATTTCTGACCGTCTATAGTATATGGAACATGGACTTGATGCGCCAAAGTACCTAGATGGCATGTTCTCCTGGGTTCTTTATGACAAGGAAGGAGATCGCACAGTGGCCGCAAGAGATCCCATAGGAATTACCAGCTTTTACCAGGGATGGTCAAGCAAAACTCCTGGCGCAGTTTATTTCGCATCAGAGCTGAAGTGCTTGCATCCGGTCTGCGACAAGATCAAATCGTTTCCCCCAGGCCATATATACGATTCCAAGACCGATACAATGACTCGATATTTCCAACCTCGTTGGTGGGACCCGCTGAACGTACCTTCAACTCCGATAGATTACAAGTTGATACGCACTTCTCTAGAAAAATCTGTTCGCAAACGGCTGATGGCTGAAGTACCATACGGTGTGTTGCTCTCCGGTGGGTTGGACTCAAGCCTAGTAGCGTCGATAGCCCAAAGAGAGACGCTCAGACTCCGGTCAGCATCAGTGGGGAAATTGAATGGATACAGCGACCACGAGCAGCAACCTAGTGAAGAGCTTGTAGGAATTGACGATGACGATGAATTATCGACCGTGACGTGGCTTCCTCAGCTTCATTCCTTTTCGATTGGGCTGCCTAATTCGCCTGATACTAAAGCTGCTTTGGAGGTCGCAAAATTCCTCGGAACCAAGCATCATAGTTTCAACTTCACCATTGAGGATGGCTTAGATGCAATCTCAGACGTCATCTTCCATCTCGAGACCTACGACGTTACTACCGTTAGAGCCTCGACTCCAATGTTCCTTCTCAGCCGTAAGATCAAAGCCATGGGAGTAAAAATGGTGCTGAGTGGGGAAGGTAGTGATGAGATTTTTGGGGGCTATCTCTACTTTCATGCAGCTCCAGACAAAGAATCCTTCCATGCAGAGACCGTTCGCCGCATTAAGAATCTCCATCTTTCTGATTGCTTGCGAGCGAACAAGTCGACGGCAGCTTGGGGAGTTGAAGCCCGCGTGCCATTCCTCGACAAGGAGGTTAGTCTTGCACTCACAGCTAAAAAAAAAGCGTCCTAACTAATTTAGTTTGTGGAAAATGCAATGGACATTGATCCAGCAGAGAAATTGATTACGAAGGATCGGATAGAAAAATATATCCTACGTAAGGCCTTTGATACAACCGACGAGCCGCATACAAAGCCATATCTTCCGGGCAACATCCTATGGCGCCAAAAGGAGCAATTCAGCGATGGTGTAGGTTATGGGTGGATAGATGCCCTGAAAGACAACGCCGAGATCCACGTGACGGACGAGCAGATGAAGCAGCCCAAAGCCGAATGGGGAGATGATGTCCCAGATAGCAAGGAAGCGTACTGGTATCGTCTCATGTTTGATGAGCTCTTTCCGCCTCAGTGTGCATCAACGGTCATGCGTTGGACACCTACGTGGTCGAAGCAGACAGATCCAAGCGGACGGTGAGATGTCTCTTGACCTAAAAAGAACTTATTTCTGACTTTGACAGGGCGATCGCCACGCACCTTGCCAAGTACGAAGGACAGAAATAGAGCGTCTGTCATTTTTTCTTTGCGCTATTCCCTCGATGCCTAGAGCATATGAGGGTTTTTGCCTTGCTATGCGGATTAAGCAATAGACTCTAGACCTGAATAGACCGATGTTTAATAGATTCCCGAGAAGCGAGCATTCTAGGAGGAAAAGCGTCCAGCATACAAAAATCGGTCGATACAGTACTTATGCATGAGTCTCATGCTTGTCGCACGTCTGGTAAGATGATATCAGTGAAGCGTATCAAGTCGAATCGAAGTCAGAGTTAAACACGAGATCATTAGACCACAAAAGAGCATTCCATATAGGGATTCGTAGAGGTGAGAATCGAGAGTATGATAGCTCGACGGCCAAGTAGGTGCAATGAAGCTGAAGCGTGGTTGGACAGACGCTAATAAGCAAAGCAACCCTAACCGCTCCCGCTCAGGCTACTTCACTCCTTCACTCCTTAGCTCGCGCTCACTTATTTTCATCCAACGTGCCTCCCTGCTGCATCACCAATCGTCAAACCTTCAAGGGCATTGAGTGCTATATTTTCCAAGTCCTTATCATCCGTCAGAATGTCTGTTCCTCCAGCCTTCTCCGACATTTCCAAGACCTCAAATGATGCGAGTAACCCTTGCGGTTTACGTAGAATGAATAGCTGATGCATCTACAGCTCGTGAACAAGGACTTCTACCACATTGCAGCTGGTAATTGCAGCCTCTCAAATGTTCCGATGGGACATGTGAAGCTTATGATGTTTTCAAGCCAAAATCGATGTTAAGTCCAAAGCTCCCAATGGAGTGAGCTTCAACGTCAAGGGCACATCTACTCACGAGGGTCCTACAAGTGCTTCCGTGAGCCTCCAGCTTCGACTACAATGAAAACCGGATTCTGAAGCGCCAATGATACTGACTTGCTGGCTACATTAGGTTGAAGCCAAATACGCGGATCCGCCTACGGGTATGATTTTCAGTTTGCTTCGCTTTACCACCACGGCCCATCTCCATACTCCTTCTAGTCTCAACCACACTATCGTCCTTTGCCCCGGGAGTGCAGCGTTGCTGATTCTTTATCAACGTGCAGGCTTGTCTCTTACTCAAACATGGACAACCGCAAACGTTCTTAGTACAAAGCTGGAGCTTGACAACAACTTCGCCAAAGGGCTGAAGGCCGAAGCTCTCACAGACTTTGTTCCAAGCTCACAAAAATTTGGCGCAAAGCTCAACCTCTACTACAAACAACCCAACTTCAATGCCCGCGCCTTCTTCGACGTCCTCAAGGGTCCTGTTGCAAACGTGGACGCTGTCTTGGGGCGTGACGGTTTCTTGGTTGGTGGGGAGGCAGGCTATGATGTCCAGAAAGCTGCGATCACCAAGTATTCATTGGCCGTTGGCTACACAGCGGCAGAGTACAGCGCCGCTATCACTGCGACGAGTAGCTTGAGTGTCTTCGCGGCCTCGTACTATCACAAGGTCAATTCGCAAGCCGAGGCAGGCGCCAAAGCAACATGGGACTCGAAGGGCAGCAACAACGTTGGCATGGAAGTGGCAGGCAAATACCGTCTCGACCCTACGTCCTTTGCCAAGGTATGAGCCACTCAAACCACTTTCACTTTGACACGACTAAGCTTAGCTCGCAAACTAGGCCAAGATCAATGATCGAGGCATTGCCGCTTTCGCGTACAATGTCAAACTCCGACCTGGTGTCACTGTGGGCCTCGGGTTGTCTCTCGATACTCAAAACTTAAACGAAGCTGCGCACAAGGTAACGCTTCCAGATCGTCGACCGAAGCGCAACATCAATTGACAAGCAACAGGTCGGCACGAGCTTCGAGTTCGAGGGTTAAGGTGAGAATGTTTGACCTGGGTTAAAACTAGTGCTTTTTCGATTCTCACGTGACTGTAATTAGACAACTGCTCTTCTATGTAGCGACTTCAAATCAGTGCACACTGTCAATACATCAGCTCAGGCGACATCATTTGTTTCATGATAGCGGTAGAAGCGGCATGACAAAAGCAACTCTTGACCTTCAAAGGAAATTCACGAACACGAGGGACGGGGTATACCGTATGAGTTGTAATGCAGGGAGAAATTAGATATTGAGGGGGCATCATTTTTCAACGCTCGTCCTTTTTGCGCCGTCTCTGCTTCTGTCAAATAGTGCAGGTATTGAAAAGGCAAACGTGACCACTGCTGTGATCAACAGAAATTGAAACAGGACACTGCCTCCTTCCGCAAATCCTACGCTTTCCTCCTCCATACGCTTACGCCGTCGTTGATCCTGCTGTTCCTGAGTATGATGATGTCCTTCCCGGTTGAAATGAGGAACGTCATTGAAACCGGCCTGTCCTCGACCCGGTCCAAATCCCCCGCCACTGGGATCACCGGTACCAGCAGATCCTGAGCCCTCGGCCTGCGCATGCCTCTTACTACCCTGTGCCCCCCATCCTCCACTCCGATAGAAGCTTGGTGGTGGTCCCTTGAACTGAGTCCGTCTTCGACTTAGTCCGCTTCCGGGTCTGGATCCAAAAGGAGTCGAAGAACTCGAATGAGAGCCCCGGTGTGCGTGGGACCGAGATGACTCCTGAGCATCTTGTATATCTCGATCGTAGCGCTCTCGCTTCTGCGGGCTACCAAGGACAGCGTAAGCCTCTGATATTTTGACGAATCGCTCCGAGGCTTGTGGGTCGTTGGCATTATGATCTGGATGGTGGGTCTTGGACAGAGAGTAGAACTGCCTGCGTTGTGTGAGCGCCCGATAAAAAGCCACATACTTCATTGCATACGTTTTGATATCTCCCGCAGAGGCACTTGGATCAATGCCCAATGTCTTGTAGTAGCTTGCTGATTCGCTTCTCCATGCTGACGTTGTGTGGAACAGCGCAGTGCGAGGCAAGGCTAATCGAGGGAGCAGAAAAGCTGTGGGGAGGAGAGACCGACTTAGTGGCATGCCTCATGCTGAGAGGCGTACTGTTCTGACTGAATTGCTCAATGTGTCGCCCATGATGCCAACGAATCGTTCCATTGTTGTGAAATAACCTCGATCGATGACATAATATGCTGGAAGAAGCGCGATCAAGCGCCACCAGTGCTCAGCCGCCCCCACATTCAAAGCTCTTTCCAAATCAGAGATATGACGACGACGACGCCTTATCGCGCCTAATACTACTCAAGATGGCCGCACAAATAGCAGATGGGATCCATAATATTAACCGTGAAAGCACATGCATATCAAAAACTTGTTGGCGCTTTAGCTCATATATATCTAGTAAACCAATCTGAAACAAAAGACAGTATTTCGAACGGTCATATCAGTCCGGCCTCTGCAAAAGCTGAGAATGACGACTCGGACGAAGACAGAGATGAAGATGGTAGGAACGTCGAGGCAGGAGCTCTCGGAGGTAAACTTGCTCCAGGATTCTGTTGAGACAAGTGGCTAAGAGGGCGCAGCTGCAAAGAAGAAGAAAAAGAGGAAGCCTAAGAAGAAAAAGGGAGCGGCCAGTGGTAGCAAAACGCAGACTATGCCTCCAAGAGTCCCTGTCGGGAATTTGTTTCCAAACGGCCAGTATCCCAAAGGAGAAATTGCCGAATATCGAAATGAAAACAGCTATCGGACAACCAACGAAGAGAAAAGACATCTGGACCAAATGAATAATGACTTTCTGAACGAATACCGGCAAGGAGCGGAGGTTCATCGACAAGTCCGACAATGGGCACAAAAGAATATCAAGCCTGGCCAGAGCCTGACCGAAATTGCTGAAGGAATTGAGGATAGTGTCCGAGCATTGACTGGACATCAGGGCTTGGAAGAAGGGGACAATATTAAGGGTGGAATGGGTTTCCCCACTGGCCTGAGCATCAACCATTGTGCAGCCCACTACACTCCAAACGCGGGCAATAAGACCATTCTACAACAAGACGACGTGATGAAAGTAGATTTCGGAGCCCACATTAACGGCAGGATTGTGGACAGTGCATTTACCATGACGTTCAACCCGGTCTACGACAACCTGCTGGCGGCTGTCAAAGATGCCACAAACACAGGCATCAGAGTGAGTTAATTAATCAGGCGTCAATCGAAAGGACTGGCGTTGACTTTTTCAAGGAAGCGGGTATTGATGTACGCGTTGGCGATATCGGCGCCGCGATCCAAGAGGCGATGGAGAGTTACGAGGTTGAAATCAAGGGTCAGTCGTTACCGGTCAAGAGTATCCGAAATCTTAACGGTCACGACATCGTTCAGTACAGCATTCATGGGGGCAAAAGCGTACCGATTGTGAAAAGCAACGATCAGACGAAGATGGAAGAAGGCGAGATCTTTGCTATTGAGACTTTTGGAAGCACGGGGAAGGGCTATGTACGAGACGATGTAAGGTGCTCATCCGAAGGCATTGCCTCAAGACTCACTTGACGCAGATGGAAACGTCGCATTACGCCAAAAGAGCCGACGCGCCAAACGTTGCTCTTCGAGTCTCGTCCGCTCGGAGTCTGCTAAATACAATAACGAAGAACTTTGGGACACTGCCCTTCTGCCGGAGGTATCTTGATCGCCTTGGCCATGACAAGTATTTGCTCGGAGTAATTGTCCTGATGGTCCCGCTAAGCGGCTGAAGAATGCTAATTTATGTCAGTTGAACAATCTCGTATCGAGCGGTATTGTGGAAGCATATCCACCTCTATGCGATATCAAAGGGTCATATACCGCTCAGTTCGAACATGTGAGCCGCTTCAATGGGGTTTGCTGTTTGGAATGGTTCCTAACATGTTTCAGACCATACTAATGCGACCTACAGTCAAGGAGGTCATAAGTCGAGGAGATGATTACTAGTCAACTGATCGGTTGTTACTCCTCTAATGACTGCATTGAACAGGTGTATGCGAACTTGACAAACTATTTGTTTGATGCGAGGCAAAATTAGAGTAGATACCCACAGGATACCATTCTCCGAACAGATGAGCTTTACAGAAAGTGTCAAGGTCGAAATTTTTAAAGACGACAGGAATTTGTAGACATGATAGGACAGGAAGGCTGCCAGGAATGGTGCACTCATCGGTGAAAGACCAAGAAAACTAATCGACCATGTTTGTGTCGTCAACATGCAAGGGTTATTAATCCACGCAATTTTTTTCTGGCAGCGCGCGTATGGATCGTGCACTCACTTCCATCTTGATTACGAGAAATCCTGATCACATGATCATTGACTACGCTACCTATGCATCATTGGATCATGGCTCGGCAAGGACATGATCCCCCGAAAAAGAAAGCCCGAAAGGAGAACGTGGCTCAGTCGAACAGGCCAAAGCCCATATCCTCGTCCGATTCCTCCTTCTCCTCTTCTTTCTCTGCCTTCTTCTCTTCCTCTGCAGGCGCATCCGGTGCAGCTCCTCCACCGCTTGCAGCACCAGCAGGCGCGGCGGCAGCTCCTCCCCCTGATCCAACGTTCAGCAGCATATCTTTGACGTTCTTTCCCTCGAGTGCCTGTACCACGTGTCAGTCCTTATCTTCACTACATGATATGCCCAACGTCCGAATGGAGTATGTGCACCTTTGCAAAGAGGGTGGTCCATATCGGTTCGACATCCTCGACACTGGCGGCTTTGATAAGAGTATAGAGTTTGTCGGCCTTAATTTGAGTCAGCGTCTTCCAACACCGCAACAGCTGTCGGCCCCTACAGTAATGTCAAGGTCGTCATCGGCGAGAATGAGAGCGGCATATGAGGCTGCAAGCTCCGAGTGAGACATTGCGAGATGGGTATTCGTGGATGGATGTGGGCGATTGATTTTCGAGGTATGTATGTAGTAAAAGAGTTAGCCAGTCACCTAATAGATTTCAGTGTGAGTCGTCTTCGCTTACGTATCGGTGTTATCTTAGCGCCTTGGCGCTCTGCTGTTGGCCCTAAGTATGAGGGGCTCCTCCCACTAACGTTTGGGTCACTTTTACTTCCTTGAATGTGTTGCGAATATCTGAAATGTACCTCATCCTCCTCAGTTCTGACGTACTCCATTTTCAATCACGTCTTGCAGCAGCAATGCTCCATGACGAATAGACTTACTCCAACATGACAGACTCCCCCGCAGTCCACGCTCCTCTCGACCCGAAAGAACAACCCATACTTGATCGTGTGCTCCACCTTCGAGATGAGCTATCGTTGCTGAAGCAAGACAAGTCGACGTACATCAAGTCTTACGATGTCATTTCTCTCTACGACCAAGTGATTGAGCAGGTCCATGCGCTCAATACTGTACGTGAGGAGCACGGCAAGCCTCTGGAACAAAACAGAGGTCTGTTCTTACTCTTGGTAGACTCCGTCTAGCAACTCGGAATGCCGGGCTCACAATTTGTACGAACAGTCGACAACGTATTAGAGGATTGCTTTCAATTAATATCTCTCTTTTTTTTGACCGTAGGACGCAACAATGAAGCTCCGGCCGTGTAAGCTTGCCCACATCCGATTCGAATTATCGAAAACTGACCCCTACCACCAATCCCAGATACTCCATGACATCGACCATTAGGGTTTGCCTTCACGGGACAGAACGTCCTGTTCTTGCGCTTACTTCAAATAGCGTCTTCTGGATCATCTCAAAGAAGCTGCATTCTTTTCTGCTAAGGATCTCGACTCTGCCAGTCATACTTTAAACAAAATGCAAGATACTTTGCAGCGAGGCAAAGAGACTTATTCGCCGCACCTTCTGACTTTGCTCGACAACCGTCTCAATACCTGTCGAAACATCCTGGCTGATTTGCAAGCTTCCTTGGCTGATCTGTCGCCTGCACTCACACCTGTTCACGAAAGATTGGTCTCTATTTTACGCTCGATCTCCGCGGCCAACACTCGCCAAAAGGTTTGGTTCTTCCTCCTAGATATCGATTGGAACTAGTTGACCGTCAGTTTAGTTCCCAGCAGCAGAAGTTGAGGGTTTCCGAGAACAACTGAAAGAGATTCGAGGTACTATGGTCGATGGCAAGTTCCTCGCCGAAGATAGTACTGCGCCAGCCGGCCAGGCTATCGTAGCCGAGCTTCTGGATCGTTGCTTTCTTTGGTCAGGCATCGTGCTCACCAGGTACGCGCGTCTCCTGAGCAACCGAACGAAACATCCAGAGCTAACTTCCACGTCAGGAAGGGCAAAATAGATGAGCGATTCAAAATGACATATGACAAATTATACGATATCCGCAACCAGCTTGAAAGACTGTCTCTGACACAAGCCTGGTCTTTACGAGAGACTGACCTCTATAACTACCAGCGTCAGTTAGACAGGGTCGACGAATCTCGGATTAATGGGAATTTCGAAGACTTGACTGGGTACAAAGCTGACCTCCATGCACAAAGGGTACGATTGAGCTTTCTATAACCCGAACACCTTTAGTTCTAACACCTACAGACGCTGCTCTATCTTCTTCGTCGTAGTTATGCGTACATCTACAGTCTCATCATTTCCTCTGAACCAGTCTCCGAGGCGCTTCTGCCTGTTTTCAATCAATTGCAGACACTTCGTCGATGCTTGGTAGAGGTCAAGCGATCTGGTGGCGTTTCTTCGGCAAGGGAGCTTTACCCATACAGCATGAAGGTATGGTTAACTCTGAATCTACAAGTTGGAAACCTTGAAATTGATTTTGCAGCTAATTCACGTAGTTGAATTCGATCGACAATATGCGCGTTGATGGCAAATTCTTAGTGGGTTCAGACATACCCGAAGGGCAAGGCAGTGTGAATGCATTGCTTGCTGAATGTTTCGACATAGCATATGAATTAAGAGTCCAGGCTGAAGAAAGTGACTCGGAGTGATAGCAGAGGAAATCGCAAGCGTGAATTGTAGGGCAACTGTTTTGCTCTTCAGGGACTTTCAGACTAGGAGTTTTCAAGTTCTGCATACACTATCTTAACTGTCTTACGCTAAAAAAATACTTTCGAGCCTCTAGATCGCCGTTAGTGTTATTCAATATTTAGCGTAATTCAGCTAATTTAGCTTTTAGTACGCTTAGATATACTCGAAGGTCTATATTAATAATTTAATCTAGATATACTAAAATCGAATTACGCTAATAACGAAATCTACGAATATATATAATAACTTTATACGTATTTATTTAATTAAAAAATTTTATATATAAAATTTATTCTTTATATAATTCTTTATAACTCTTATATATATATCTTTTTCTAATTATTATTATTTATTTATTTATAAGAAATTAAAAGTTTTAATATATATATTAATATATCTTAATAAATTAAGATATATCGTTATTCTAAGAGATATTAAAATCTCGAAAATTATAATTTAAAGACTTAAAAGTAAATTCTTAGCGTAAGATAATAAAGATAATATATATATAGCTTAAAAACTTCTAGTCTAAAATCCTCTATTCTTAATTATTAGAAAATTAGAAAATTAGCATTCGAACTAGTATCCCCCTCACTTAAAATTGTACTATAGATATATCTATTATATTATCGTTTTTACAATTATCTATATCGTTAAGTTGAGGCTGAAATTACTCGTATATATAGAATACTTAATATTTCTTTTTTCGAGTCTCTCACTAACGTATAGAAGATCTCGAAGATCTTAGAATATCGTTTTCTCTACTATTTAATATCTATATTATCGCTTTTATTATTTCTATCGAAGACGTTAAAAAGAGTATTATATATCGTATTATCGATAATCTTCTTATCTTTAATATTTTATATTACGTCTCGCGTAACTAAGAGAGAATAATTATTCGCGATTTTTTCGATTATAAGAATCGAATTAAAGGTCTTTATTAAGAGTAAGTTATAGATATATTAGAATAAAATATAGTATAATCTATTTAATAGATTTAATCTACTTATCAGCTAGTTTATAATCTTAAAAACTCTATATTTTATAAAGATTAATAAAAAAAGCCTTCGCCGCGAGATCTTAAAACGCTTATAGATTTATTATAACGTGTATTTATTAGAATTCGAATTATATGACTCTTAGCGTCTTAGCAATTACGTAATATAATTACGTAATATATCTTAATATATTTATATCTAATTACTCTTTTCTTCTATAGAACTCTCTAGTTAATATAACTAAGTATTCTATCTTATATTTTAATAGATTATAGGTCTAAACTTTATCTAATAACTATTTTAATTATTTTATAATTTATCTATTATCTATTATAACTATAGCTACTTTTAATATATTTATTATATTAATACTTATTAAATAATAATAATTATAATCGCGGAGGATCTCTTTTATTAATCTTCGTAATATAAGTATTTTCTATTTTAAGATAATTATTCTAATTAGATAATATACGCTAAATACGCTTTTAATTAAAAGAATAAGAGTAGTAAGTAAGAGGGGCTATATCGAAATTATTAATATTAGTATATATAATAGAATAAGATAGGGCTGAACTAGAAAACCTTGAATTTGTATGTGCAGCCAATCATCAATTCGTTAGGTCTACGCTTTTTGGTTAGACACCGCGGGTAAACAAATTAGCGTCCGCAACCATCAAAAAAATAGGTAAAAATAGGTGTACATTATTAACATATAGAAAAACTTTTTGTTTTCTATTAACTTTTTGAGATTTTAAATTCTAAATTTTGGAGCGCAGTCTGCGCTTTCCGAATTTTTAAGAATCTTGAAATTTGGTCTTATAATTATTAAAGCGTAAGGAATTCAAATATCGCTCACCAGAGTTCGCTCGACAGCCGGACAGCCTTGATTAAAAAAACAGGTACACATTATTTGATTTTAGAATAACTTTTTTGTTTTCTATTAAAATTTTAAAATTTTTTGTTTAAATTATAGAATATAATGTGGGCTTTTAGATAAAAAAAGAATTACTAAATTTAGTCTTATAGATATTTAAAGGTAAGGAATTCAGATATCGCTCACCAAAGATCGCTCACCAAAATTTACTCGACAGCCCCGATCAAAAAAATGATTATGAATTTAATTCATAGGCCTTTACTCGTATTAATATATTATATTAATAATTTAACGTATAAACTTTCTTATTATTTTTTATATAAGATAATTTAAAGCGAGTTAAGATATATTATATTTAATTATATAATATTAAAACTATTATACGCCGTAATAAAGTATTATATATTTATACTTTTTTATTATATAATTACTATAATTATTAAAATATTATTAGTTTTTCTATATTAAATAAAATACGCTAAAGATAAGAGATAATATATTCTTATTCTTATATTTCGCTATATTAAAAATTAATAATAAGTAGTTAATCTCTAATATTTTATTATATAATTTTTATAATAAAGGTTAAAATTTAATTTAAGGTAATAATATAACGTTAAAAAAGAAAATAATCTATATCTCGCGTATTAATATATTAATATATAAAGAAAAATTACTTTTTATTATAGCGATTAAAGAATAATTACTCTCTATATTTATAAAAAAACGATTTTATAAAGAAGCTTTAATTAATTCTAATAAGAGAGTAAAGCGAAATTATTAATAATCTCGTATTTAATCTTAATTAATTTCTTCGATAGAAGTATTAATTAATAAAAGATATTATATTATAAATATAATAAAAGATAATTAAGATAATCGCGATAATAATATAAAAGATAAAATTTAATTAAATTCCCTCTTAAGTATAAAGAGTAACGATTTTTTATAAAGATTTTATATATTTATACTATATTTCCCTTTAATATCTATAAATTAAAATCTATCTTTTTAAAATATTATTAATTATATTATAGATTATAATGTAAGATCTCTTTTTAAATAACGCTTTAAATTATATTAAGCTAATTTTAAAGCTTAGCGAAATTTTCTTTATATACTTTAAATAATTATAAATATTTTAAATACGAATAGTATTAATAGCGAGTATACTTTAATTTTTTATATTAATTTTATTATTATATTAAGTTAATTTATTTTTAAATTATTATTAGAGCTAATTTTAAATAAAGAGCTCTTTAAATTTAAAGCGAAGTTAGTTTTATTAATATCGTTTATCTTATTTATTTTATTAAGCCTTACTATATTATAAATTTTATTTTTAAATTTAAATTTTTATTAAAGCTTTTCTCTATTAAGCTCTAAAAATTAAATTAATTCTTTATAAATAGTATTATATTTAAATATATTAATATTAAACTTTTAACTAATTTAAATTAACTTTATTAAATTTTTATATTTAAAAATACTTTTAATTATTATAAATAAAAGCGAAATATATAGAATTTCTTCGTACTATTAGATCTTTAGCACTGTATTAAAATTAATATTATTTAATTAATTTTTTATTTAGCGATTATTATAAGAGTAATAATTAATTAATAATTTATAAGAGATATTTTTAAAATTATTATTAATATAGATATTATAATATAAATTAAAGTATATTATAAACTCTATATTATAATAAAAACTCGCTATAAGAATAATTTATATAATTTTATTAAAAGCTATATTAACGCTATAGTTATTTAAAAAAAATTAAAAAAATATAAACTTCGCGAATTAGATATCTTTAGCTTTACTATTTAGAGATTAAAGTCTCTTATTCTTATTATCTATAAAAATAAATTATAAATCTATATTAATTAGTTTATTAATTTATTATATAAAATTAATAGCTTATTTAAAAAATATCTCTTTATTATTAATAAGAATTAAAAGATTTATTATTTTTATAAAGATCTAGATAGTTAATATACTTAATATTATAAGACTTATAATTAAAATCACAATTTTTATAATAAAAATAAGTCTTTTAAATTTATACTAACTTACGCTAAAATATAATAGCTTAATATTATCTCTAATTCTACTATTTTTATTAAGTTCTTTAATACTTATATAATAGTTATTTATATTAAAATAAATATTTATATCTTTATTTCTATAACGTTTACTTTAATATATTATATTTAAAATAATATTAATTCTAATAACTCTTATATCTAAATATAAATTTATAAGTATTATATTATTTATAATAAGAATTTTTATTTTATTAAAAAGTATCTTAAATAATTAAAGTATAAGCGTATTCGCGAAGAATTTTAAATTTTTAAAAATAGAGATTATAATAGTTATAGCGATTAAGATAAAAGAGATAATCGAGAAGATAATAATATTAATATCGAATCTAAATTCGAAAAGTTTAAAAAAGAGAAGAATTAATCTTTTAATATTAAAATAATTATTATAATTATCTAATTTATAATAGCGCGCTATTTTATTATTTATATTATTATTATATTTATCGCTAATTTCTAAATCTTAAATAATAAAATTTATAAATTTTTTAAAATTGATTTCTTAAATAGAGTTTTTATTATTATATTTTTTATTATAGTAATAATATTTTTTCTCTAGTTTTATAATTATATATATATTTAATATATTATTTATAATTTCTTAATTTTTAAGATCTTCTTTAAATTCTAAAAACTTTATTTTATTAATAAACTTATTAGCGATAGTTATATAGCTTTTAACTTTAATAATATTAATTTTAAATATAAAATAAAGAGTATTAAGCGTATTTAAACTTTTAATAATATTTAATATATATCTAAATATAATTTTATTTTTATTTTCGAGAGATAATTAAAGAAGTAATAGTACTCGCTTTCTTTTATTCTCGACGATCTTTTTATAAGAAAATAATAGTTTTTCTTTAAATATATTTAAAGTCGCTTTTATACGCTTAATACTTAAAAGAATATCTCTTTAATCTTAATTATTATTAATAAAGAAATTTTTATTTATAATAAGTCTTTTATTAAAT